GCTCATGGTCGCCAGGACCCATTGCCGGCATCGGGGGCAGCACCGGGCTTGAAGGAGGCGGGCTGGACCGCATATAGGGCGTCGCCTGCTGAACTGGTGGCGAGGATCCAATATCGGCGGGGCTGTCGTCGGGGTAGTTTGGGGTTGGGGCCATGGACTCTGGCGATCTATCGTCATCCATGCCGGGAGATGCAAAGCGGCTAGCCTCGCTCGTGGCAAAGCTTGACACGGGCGGCTGGCTCAGCGCGGATTCGCGTCGCTTGAGGGAGCTGGGCTCTCGTCCTGGTACCGCCCTGAGACGACCGTTAGGAACGGGTGTGGGAGCTCGAGGGATCTCCTGCAGATGGCTACCTGTCACGCTGTCGCTATTGATGGCAATGGGTCGAAAGTTTCGCAGGGAGCTGGAGTTGCTCGCAGCCACCCTGAGGGATTCGGGCTCGGTAGCGAAGGGATTCGCGTCCGACTTGTCCACCTTGGTCACCTTTGCCCTCTTCTTGACAGGCTCATCCTCCTTGGCGGGCGCGGCCTCTTCTCCTTCAGTTCCGTCCTCATAGCCGGATGTGTTGCCTTCAGCGGGTTTCTTTCGCGGCCTGCCTCGAGGCCTACCCGTGGGTGGTTTCCTCCGGGACGGCCTATTTGACGCTCTGCTAGATGGTCGTGAGGAGGGCGCCGGAACGCCAGGCATGGACTGAGACTGAGGTTCGATGGGGATCGGGGCCAACCTCGGCAGCTCTTGTGTAGGCGTTTGGCTGTAGCTCGGGCCAAAGGAGCCCTGCCTAACCAACGGTGGCGGGGGTCCTTGAGGCAGAGCAGGAGCCATGCTGGGCGAGTGGTGGACTGGCATAGGACTGCCATGGTTCTGGCTCGCCTGCTGGGCCATCTGAGGGTTCGACTGGACCAGAGAGTTCCATTCTGAGGCAGCACCGGGTGTCAAGACCTGCTCCATAGGCCTCACTGGCTGATGGTCCACGGACGAGGCGTATGTGATGGAACGCTGGATTCTGGCTGTCTCAGACAGCTTCAATCTGACCTCGAGCGTCTCCCTGTTGCCACCACCAAACACACCCAATACGTTTCTCGTTACACGGCCCGTCACCATCTTGGGCTGATGGTTCCCAAAGTCGGGCCGCATCGACTGGAAGACCCATGACAGCAGGCCTTGGCCGACCAGAGGGATCTCGGGTTCGGAATAGTCAATTGCGTAGATGGTGTAGTCGCACTCGTGGTTCGTAAGCTCCGGGCTGCACTCGGCGATTACGTGTACGCAAGCCCTCAGGTCGACGATGCCAATGGAGTTGGCGTCATCAATCGGGACCGTCTGGACCTGCAAGGGCTGGGAGCCTCTGGCGAGGCAATTGACCTTGGCCTCTTTGTCGAACGTGTAGTGCACCTTTACTGTAGTGTCTGAATTAGTCGCTGCAGCAAACTAAAGCACAGCCAAGGTACAACTGAAGCTGAGGGAGATTTTCGTACAGTTCATGAACTTGGTCTGCACGCCATAGTCGTCAGCGTCGCCGGCGACAGACGTGTTGTTCCAGCCACTGGCGTGAGCGGGCATTGGTGAAGCCATGGCGATTGTGCCTCGCCCTCGCGGCCGTCGTCCGATCGTGGTCCCCCTTCGCCCTGCTGGGTTTTGCCGATGCAGGAGTTGAGAAGTTGCCTGCCGAGATGGATACTGTATTGAGAAAAAAAGGGAAGTGGAGAGTGTGCTGGGTTTGTTGGACTTTGGTGGTCAAATTGGGGAGGCGGGTTTCATGCTCGTGACGCGCCAAAATGCCCCAGGTCGCGTCTGCGTGGTGGATCTGAGATATGGAGAGAGAGCGCGCAGGGGAATTTTTAAGACAAAAAAAAAGGCCAATGGGGCAGCACAAAAAAAAAAAAAGAAAAGAAAAGAAAGAAATGAGGTCCGATCCACGTTGCTACAGAGACAAGAAGGATGCCGTTGCACAGGAAATTCTTTGTTCTGTCGTGAGTGGGCTGATGAGTGCAAGGCCCTTTGTGATGGTTGATGATGGCCTCTGTTTCGTCACGCTCCAAAAAAAAAGCGTGTAGCCTGCGCCTGACGTGCCACCCAATAACCACAAGCTCTGCAACTCAACTAGCCGCGCCACGGCAGCTCTGCTTCGGTGTACTACAACTAGCAGCAGGTGAGCTTTTAGTGAGAAAGTGCCTGCAGAAACAAGCCCGGCACTCATTCAATCAATGGGCGTTAATAGGCTGCAGGGGGGGTCACTTCCAGCCTGCCGCGCTTCTTCGGGGCCACACCCCACCTACCCAATGGAGCAGTTGATCTTATCGCTGGTTGGCGCCGGCTGAACTCCGGGGGCAGCGGGCCGGCTCCGATTCCAAGCTTTCGTGTGTTGCTTGGAAGCTTCTGGGAAATGCCCAGCGAATTCGTCTCACACAAACGACGGTCTGGCGGCAGGGCAAAGAGGCTCCGGTTGAGCGGGCAATTCGACGGAGCAAACAAGAGGAGCAATGGCCAGACTTTTTTTTCTTTCTCTCTCTCCCTTGGTTGCGGCAGGCGGGGCTTGCTGGCCCTTTTATAGTTGCCCTCAGCTGGGTTGACGCCATCTTGAGAGCTCGTCTGCCATCACATCAGCACCCCCTCCAAACTCATCCGTCTCGTGACTTGGCTTCTCCCTGCATTTTCCTAGGCTGCACAAGTCTCTGCCCCTCCATGGCCAGAACTCACCCTGCTTTTTTAGGCCCGATAAATGAAGCCGTTTGCTATCGGCCCTTGCACCTTATTTCCATGACGCCCGATGGTTTGCAGCTCCACCGCCGTTGCGCAAAAAAAGCATACGGGCGCACTTCACGCCATCTCCGCAAGATAAGACCATGAACGACTCCATCATCATTCGTCACTCTGTGATTTGATCTTCATCTCATTAAATGCATTTGCATATCGTCTTTTTTAGATTTTACTATTGTACATGTACATGCGTCCTCTATTTTCTTTCTTCCTTCTGTACTTTCCCCCTTTTTATAGTCGACTTGAAGCTGCAGAATCACCGGCCACCCACTTGGCTTTGCCTTGCTCGTCAACAGTTGTTTTTCTGCTGATAATCTCGTCTACAACCTCCGCCACGCCCTGTCGGTTCTTTCTCGACGCCTTGACCTGCTTCGCGAGTTCTGCCGGTGTAAGAGAGTTGCCAGACACAATGGCCTGAATCTCCTTCTCGGTGGGCACGCCGAGGGCGGCGAAAGGGTATTCAGAGTAGGTGCGGTCCGTAAACAGCTTAAATCCGGCGTCCTTGCTGAAGTCGAAGAAGGGCTTGGCGGTGTTCTCGCTGGCGGGGATGGCCTCGAGAGACTCGGGTCGCCACTTGGCAGCCTCCTTGCGCACCAGCAGCGCCGTCACACCCTCCGTGAAGTCGTGGTGTTGCATGAACTTGCTGGCAATCTGGTGTTCCTTCTCAAACGTCTCCGAGATGCTCCACCTACCGCCAACCCGCATCTGCCTAAGGGCAACATGCACGGCGGTGGGCGACCGCTTCCCAAGCGTGGCCAGCTGCTTCTGCGCCCACTCTTCAGTCTCACCCCGCTCTTCCTTCAAGGCAGCAATGATGTCATTCACGTTGTTCTTGCTGAAGCACCGGTCGATGGCCCGTCGAGTTTCACCGCTCAGAGCAAAGGCCTGGTCGTAGGGCAGGCCGGTGCAGAACTCCTCCAACGTATCGTTGATGAGCTCGAGCCTCCGGGGGAGGGGGTCCTCATCGCGGAAGCGCAATTCTGCCAGACGTGCCTCGAGATCCGGCAAGCTTGACGAGTGTAGGTAGTGAGTGGCAATGCCGCTGTAGAAGACGTTGGGTCCGGTGAGCCGGTCGCTAGTCAGCGCGAGGTAGGTTCCGATGGAGCCATTCATCCGAGGCAGGAAGAAAGATGCACCGACATCGGGGAAGAATCCAATCGTCGTCTCGGGCATGGCAAACATTGTCCTCTCGGTCGCAATTCGGAAGGGTGCGTGGATGCTCAGTCCAACGCCGCCTCCCATGGTGATGCCGTCCATGAAGGCAATGTAGGGCTTCTGGTACGTCGCAATGTAGTGGTCCAGCTGGTATTCGAGAGCAAAGTAGTCGGCTGATTTCTTCCATCCATCGGCACCCTCCTGGTTGTACTGAGCTAGTGCGGCAACATCACCGCCGGCGCAGAGAGCCTTCTCGCCCGCACCCTTCATGACAATAACGTTCGCCATGTCAGACTTTTCCCACTCAATCAGCCGGGGAACGATCTTGCGAATCATGGATCCATTGAGGGAGTTGAGCTTCTTTGGGCGGTTGAGCAGCACGGTTCTGAGCCCGTACTTGCTCTCGAAGACGACATCGTTGGGCTCGTCGCCAGGCAGTTCCTTGACCTTGTAGGCCTCGGCAGACAGCTTTTGTAAACTTCATGTTAGCACTATATTATACATCAAACATCGTCTCCTCCTTGCTAACCGGTCGTGCGCCCAGTGACGAGCTCATCGCTCTGCTGGGATGCGCCATGCTCATGGTGGTGCGATGGCTCCGGCTCGCAGCATTCGCGGCCGTGCCAGCTCGAGCCGCAATTGTTCGGAAGAACATCAGACGTCGACTGTACAGATGCTCTCACAAGATCAATTCCAAGACATCTAAACAAGGAGAGGGGAGGAGGAGGAGGATGACACCGGAGGACCTTGGACTTGGACTTTGAATCTCCGGCTATTTCGAAGAATAGAACGAAGCTCCACCTGAAAATTGGCCCGCCGATTGCCGATAAGGATGGCGGAGAAGACATCCCATCCCAGTACGTACCTTTTTCTGTGTCCATTTGACAGCTGCTGGTCAGGTGATGACAGCTGTTCTCCTTCTGGGTACAAAAGTACAAAAGTGCAGGCCAATTGTTTCCCCACAACAAGCTGCGCCGCGGGCCAATCAGCAGCAGTGCCTGAGACAGGCCTACAACTTTTCGAGCTTCCAGCGTTGCCAGCCTTGCACGCAACCTCAATCCATCAACCCCCAAAACCAAGCAAGCAAAAGATGGCCGACCCCAAGATTCAGTATGTTTGCCCACGCCGCACCGCCCAATTGTGCTTCAGGCTGACCGCTTCTTACAGGGAACTCCTCACCAAGTCTCGCTCCGAACTCACGTACGTTCGCGGATACACGCCCTGCCCCTCCCCACCGCTCCGACTGCATTCCAGTATATATTCATATGTACATGCACATCTAACAGTCGAAACCTAGCGAGTACGAGATTGCGCAGCTCGAAGAGTATGAGTTCTCTTCCGGTCCCCTTTCCATCCTCCAGACGGCCGTGAGGTCGCACACGCAGGTGCTCATCTCCATTCGCTCGAACCGCAAGCTGCTGGCGCGTGTCAAGGCCTTTGACAGGCATTGCAACATGGTGCTCGAGAACGTCAAGGAGATGTGGACGGAGACGCCCAGACTAGCGGACGGGAAGAAGGGCCGGCCGGTCAACAAGGACAGATTCATCAGCAAGATGTATGTTATACGCTCCCCTCCTTTTCCAGATGTCGACGAGGTCTTGAGCTTCGAGAGAGGGCTGCCGAATCTGATCGCGTCGAAATACGGAAATCATGTTGCATAAATGCCGAGTACTAACGTGTTGTAGGTTCTTGAGAGGTGATAGTGTCATCCTGGTTCTTCTATCCTAGGCTTGTACGAGCTGCTTTGGGTTGTTTTGGGGTTTAATTGACATTGAGCTATTGGATGACGGATTTACATCGCGACAAGTCTCAAAGGCGAATTTAGGCGTTGAAAACAATTTATTTGGTTGCTTTAAGCACACATCAAGTCTTTGGACAGTCTTACTAGATCGTGGCCTCCACCATTGCGTCCTCTCTCTCTATGCCACAAGTCGTATTTCAGATAGATTCCCAGCCCTCCTCTGTCGGCTTGACACCGCCCAATCCCAAGAAGAAGCATGCCAATCCCCAAGCCCCGGGATCAGGCACCTCCTCGTATCCACTGCCGCCTACGTATACTGATCGCCCAAGGCTTGCCTGCATGCCCTTGGTGTCATCGGCTGCCTTCCTCGCCGCATCAGCAGCCTCCTTCACGTCGCCAGTCTTACCCAGAACCTCGACAAAGGGATAAAGCGCGTCCACAAGCGTGCGGTCGCCGGGCTGAGCAGGAGTGTATTTGGACAAGGCCTCGCAGCTAAGCTTAAGAGCGGCAGACCACACTGAAGGACCAGCCTCGCCGGATCCAAGGGTCCGAAGAGCGTGGACGAGAGCGTTGAGGAATATGGCGTAAAGAGCACCAGAAGTGCCATCCATGGCGGTTTCTACCACTTGCACAATGGAAGCAACGTCGACAACCACATCTCCTGTCAAGGGCTTCTGCTGAATGTGCTTCAGAATGGCTATAATTTGCAAGTCAGTGTTCAAATATCAAAAGATATTTCAAGTCAAATTTGAAATGGGGAGTTTCTTGTGAGCTTACCTTCGGCTCCCCTCTTTAGACCAATACCACAGTCTCCATCTCCAACAATGGTATCGTACTTGGTAACTTCAGGCTCGGCCGCGATCACGCGCTCCAGCGCATTGGTGAGAACCGAAGTAGCATGTTTAGCATCCATTTGCAGTCCGCTCGGTTGAGTCTCTTTGTTTGTCCCGGCAGTGTCTGTCCTCGTGGCAGCATTCTTTGCCTCCCATGACGTCTTTTGCACTGGAGCGGACCAGCCGGTGACCTCGCTTGGTGCATCCAGCAACTCAATCATGCCCGGCCCGCCAATGTCGGTATTGACGACGTTTAGAAGGGTAATGCTGAAGCCCTGGCCATTCAAGCTCGTCATGAATGTGCCGCTAATGACGCGGACCGGTCGAATATTGTGCGTGTCACTGAGCTGGTTCACCACTTCGGTAGTGATACCTCCCAGCTCCAGAACACTGACACCTCCAAGGTTGTTGATGAGCAGAACAACCTCGTTTGAGTTGACATTGACGAAAGCTCTGTCCTTGTCACTTTGGTCGAGCAGTTGGGTAAGCATCCTCTCCACCAACTGAGGCAGCTCCAGCTTCTCCCTACTTGATCCGGGCTCATTGTGAATGCCCATCCCGACCTCGACTTGCTCAGGCGCCAAGGCTTCACTGGCATCGATGACTCGTCCCGGAACGTGAACATGCTCCAAGCTGGCGCCAACACTGACGATGTTGGCCGCAGTCAGCCGAGCCACCTTTGCCACCTCTTCCAACGACCGTCCCTGCGCGGCGAGAGCGCCGGCAATCTTGAGCACGAGCACAGTACCGGCGATGCCTCGCCTCCCAACCTTGCCCGTCTTCTTCCTCCCAACGCCCACGTCGTCACCCACGACAACCATCTCGACGGCCTGGCCAGCCGCTATGGCCTTTTCCACGGCCATTCCAAAGTTGAGAATGTCGCCCGTGTAATTCATCACGACGACCAGCACGCCTCTCTCGGTATCTACCCTTGACATGATGCCATTCCTGACCTGCTCAGCCGAGGGACTGGCAAAGATTGTGCCCGCCACGGCAGCTGAAAGCATGCCCGGGCCGACCATGGCCGCGAACGAGGGCTCATGGCCAGACCCTCCGCCCGAGATGATTGAGACTTGCTGAGGAGCATCGGATGGCCGGCGATAGATGATTTTGTTATCTGAGTCGAGTGCAACGTTGGGATTGGTCAAGGTCAGGCTGTGAAGCGCGGTGTTGACAAGATGAGTCGGGTCATTGATGAAGTGCTTTGTAGACATTATGGGCAAAGGTACAAGGGACTGCAGCTATAATTCAAAGACAAATGATGTTGATCACTCCAAGTTGTAACAGATCATGAATGAAGAAGAAAAAAATTATGGTGAAGGGAAAGGGATGGTCTATGCAATATATTGAATCCAAGAGAAAACAGGTACAGAATGCTACCTATATAAGAGTGGCCTGATTATCAGTGACGTAGAGTGATGACACTGGCGGGCTGATAAAGAAAAAAAAAAGGGCGGGGAAGCTCAGATATTTGGCATTTCGGCGGGGTTGAAAGTCCCGATGAGCTCAACGATGCGAGCTACAAGTCTCTACCCGTTATCACGGTGTGAATGCAGCCGTGAGCGTCGGTAGCAGTACGAAGCACCGTGTCTCAATGTAATGCACGGTCATCAGCGGGGAATTGGGTCGAGAATTTCGATGGAGAAAGCAGAAAATCCATTGGCATGGATTGGCATTGACGGCTGCGGGCCGTCCCAACAGGGCTTGTGCGCTTAAAAAGAACAAAGATCCAAGCTTTGTCACAGTTGCAGCTGCGATTGGAATCTGTCTGTAGAAATGCATTGGGTCCTTGTCTCGACAGCCAATCACCCAGGCTATAACATCTCGTGGCCAAAAGACAAGGAATTGGCCGTCCAGTATCTCACTCACATCCTGCATCATATGTCATACCCCGGGGCTTATTAGGTAGTACTGTGCATCACATTTGGGAAGGCGGACCAAGAGAATATAGAGGAGAATGAAGGTATTATCAGATACTTGAAAAGGACAGTGATAGCAAAGCACCAGATACTTGGAGATTCCTTATTCATACTTGGTAAATTCGCACGTCACTCAATGCTGTAATCGCCAAAATGCCGGATAGTCATCTGGGAGTGATGCACACATGTAACCACTCCCAGACAACGGCCTATCAGGGGCTCTGAGTCATAATGTCGTGTGCAATTCTGATATCAGGCTTCCGCCCATCTAGGTAGTACCTCCAAACTGCTACAAATGAATACAAGGTAATGGTGACGACGGTAAGTGATGATACCCGCATTCCAAAGTGTCGTGAGATGTACCTGTTCGCACGACAAAAAAAAAGGGGATCAAGAAATATATATATCCAAGGCCACTCCTAAACGCCAGCCACAAAGAGCATCCAGCCTACGCTCTAAATTCTCGGACTTGTATAAACAAAAAAAGAGCATGCGTTGTCTAACGCATGTGTATATAGAGAAACAAATCCAAAATCCCATTCCCTTCTTGGGGCGTATTTGCGTATTCTAAATCTTCATCACAACAGGAGCACCGCGCTGCCGCCCAGGACGCTAAGAAGCAGCAGGAGAGTGAGAATTGCTGCTCCAACCTTTCCGCCGGTGGTGGGCTTCGTAATTTTGTCAATGTCGCCCGCGGGATCAATGTTACCCATACCAGCGCCGGGATCACCCTTCGAAGTACCGCCCTTCTTGGCCGTGGCTGGCGCAGGGGCCTTGAGAACTCGAGTATACATGATGGCATCCAGAGCGTTCATTTGTGATCCAACACCATTTTTGCCATCGTATGTGCCCTTGGGAACCCACGCGAAACCGCATCCCGTGCCGTCGATTCCCTTGAATGCGGCCGAGGCCGGCCCTGTGCAAATGGACGCTGCGGCCGAAGCAGAGTTGGTGATTAGGGGCATGAGCTTCTGAATGGTATGCGGAGCGAGCTGCATAGTGGAGGCCATGTAGCGGACCAAGTATCCCTTAAAGGTGCTCTGATCGACAGAGCAGAAGCCTCGAGGCTCGCAAAACTGCTCGTAAATGATGCCGTTCTGGGTAAACTTGGCGACTGTCTCGGTGATGATGCCGTCCAAAGTGGCCTTCCAGGTGGCGTTGTTGGTCAAGTTGTACATGGCGGCGGCGCCGTGCATGTAGATACCCGCGTTATAGGACCACTGGTTCTGGTCCATCTGACCGCATGTGTTGTTGCTGTCGATACTCAGACCGTCATAAATCTGGTACTGGGGACCAATAAGGCCAATTTTCTTCTCCCACTCCCAGACCTTGTTGGCCCAGTCAGCGTACGTCTGGTTGCCAGTGTATCGGGCCAATCGAGCGGCAACGTTGAAGAAACAACCGTTAGCGACGGAGTTTTTGTAATCGTAACCCTTGTTCCACGAGAAAATCTGCCAACGGAGACCACCACCACAGTGAGGATCCCATCGACCGACATACTGGTTGAAGACGGCCTGCGCCATGGCCAGCCACTGCGGTTGATCGGACGGCGGGTTGGGGAAGACGTCTTCGGCAGCGGTCATGGCGGCCATGGCCCAAAAGCCCTGATCGTCGTTTCCTTCAGTAAGCGACTGGTTCTGGGGCAGAAAGGCACCATCAGTTCCGGCCTGCCAAAGCATAGCTTGCATAGTGGCAGTGTTGTAGGACGAATCTTTTGTCATGAGCCAATAATCAATCATGGTTCCGAACATCGCACCGGCCTCCCACCCTATTGTTCAAAGTTAGCATCCATGCGTGAACAGTAGCTGACCGTCAGTAAAGAAAAGAAGGGTTTCCTGACAATAGTATGGGTCCGGCAAGTTTCCGGGGTTATCGCCAGTGTTGTTTCCCGTGTAGTATTTCATTAATCCATACGCAACGGTACCCGCGGCGTTTAGGACCGAAGCTGGAGAAGATTGGTGAGCCACGTCTGTCTCGTTGCGTTTACAGAACCTTGATTGATTATCTTACTGTCGTCCGTCACGGTCAAAGCAACGGCATCGGCTCCCTGACCCAGCAGGCACAGGGCCGCTGTCGCAGCCGCCCAAGGAGACTTCATGGTCTCTAGCAGTCTAAAGGTCGAAATATTCTAGTTGTATCGAAGAGGTATCTATATGGTGTTTTGATGAAACGGAAATAGTCGTCCAGATCCAGTCTGTCCAACGAGGAAGCAAGGCGGCGCAATTCGAGAGTTCGCAAGAGGATGTCGAGATGCGATTCGTTTCCGCCAGGGGTATCGCAAAGCGGAATGCTCGGTACGTCGAAGGGGGTCAAAGAACGAGAGCAAGAGAGATGCGACTGTGGAAACGAGCGGCTGTTGCTGAGGACAATGCTACATGCAATGGCAAAAGATGGGATGAGAGAACAGGAAAAGAAGTGAGTGGTCAAGGAGATCTCCGCCGCGCGTCAAACGAGAGTAGTCGCTCCACTGCTTACATACGGGCCTCTTGAGGCTCGATGAGTAGAGATTGAAAATGAAGAGAGAAGAGAGTGTGCGGCGAGAGAGCATGCAAATCGGTACGCGAAAAAATAGTGGTAGGGGGGAAAATGACAATACGGACGGGCACCAGAGTTACGGCGCGTCATTTTCATTTTAGCAAGGCAGGCCATGGAAAGGGTGTAAGTGTATCAGCAGTATACGGGTGCATGGGGAGACATGGTTGGCCGCATGTGCAATTTCACGGAACCTGCTAGTTGCCAGTATGCCGCGCCCCCCGGCACTCCAGGTTTCGACCCCCATGAGACTGAGCTGCTTGGGACAAACGGCCTGAAACGCCTCACGGAGGTGGTGCGTATCCATCTTAGTGTGGAGGATGGATGATCTCTGAGCTTGACCATTGGCACGGAAACCCTTTGTCTGTATGCACAGTACTTCGTATATGCCACAGCCCCTCTGGCCGTACGAAGCATCATAATGAGAGGGCGAGGGGAAAAAAGAAGACCGGATACATGAAGGCCTCGTGCATGAACTCGGTCGCAGCGGCGGTGCTGCGTAATTGCTACGGAGCCGAAATTCCGGCAGTGGACGTGGCCGGCAATGCGCACATCTTTCAAGGGGTGATTCGCAAGAGCAATACCACCAAGGTAGCAATACTCCGTATCAAGTACTCGGTGATGAGCAATCGCCAAGCCAAATCAAATAGTGTCGTGCTTCGCCTCGAACGTCGTTGCAGCTCGTGTGCCAGTAGTATCATGATTCCTCTTGCCAACATGTTCGCCTGGCCATTTGCGCGAGTGAATGTCTGGCTACGGAAACATCGAGCTGAGGTACTTGGAGCATCGAAAAGACAAACAACACGGCCGTTTCCAAAGGGCACATGGCGTGTGTACAAGCGCACCGGTGCCGTCGACGGTGCCAAAGTTTTGCTGGTTTCAAGCCAAGAGGGCAGCCCCTGGGCCCGCTGGTTTTCGCAGCGGATTGGCGTCCGTGTCTCTCTCAAACCACTGGGCGACCGACATAGATGAGGTGGATACAGCCCGGGGTGAGGCTGTGCATCAGCGGCTAGTGCCAGTTTCGGGAACATTCAACGTCTCTGAATCAAGAGCTTGAGCCCTAGCTCTAAGGGTCTGGCGTTGCAAATTGCTACGGCGATGCGCTAACGGGCGAGGCCTCAAGTCAATGCCAGAATACGAAGCGCCGTCCCTAAATTTGGCTGCAGAGCTGAGGTGGCGATCAGAGACACATCGACAGTCGAGGTGGGTGTGCTTCGGACTTGGTGAGCATGTGTCTGTGTCTGTGTCTGCGTCTGTGTCTGTGCATCTGCATGTGCATCTCAGACTTCGTGTTTCTTTCGGGATCAGGCTGGCGCCAAATTCAGGCTGGTGGCTGTGGAACGGTGTCAGGCTGTGTGTGGTTCAGGCGGGATGAGGCTATGCAGATCATGGCTGGCGATCATCTGAATGTTATTTTTCGAAGCAGATGAAGATGAGCAAAAGACGGGAGTTGAGATAGACACCAAGGGACGTCCTGTACGGGTACGAGCATCAAGTACCGCTCTTTCCCTGTCAAGGGGTTGCAGGAGCGACGCGACCCGTACCTTACCTATACGGAGTAGAGCGAGGGGGAAAGACACTTCTATTGGCTGCTTGATGTGGACTTGCCTATTTGATCGGCTTGGCTTTTGCGCATTTGTAGAAGGCACGATCTGCCATTGTTTCATGGCAGGAGGGTGGCATTTGCAAAGCCTCATTCGAGATACGCCGTATTACTACCTAGGTATTATACGAGTAAATCTTTGTTTATGGGAATTCATTATGCCGGCATTTCCTTTGAAAATTGCATCTCGTAACTTTCACAACAATACAAGCATACCCAGTTGATACGACCTACCTACCTGGGTAGTGTATAGCACTGTAATAATAGAGAATATACGTGTAAGTGGTTTCGGCCACCAGATGGAACAAGAACGCTCGTTGAAAGGCAACCCTGTTTCGCCAAAAACCCAAAATACTGCTCCATGCTCCTTACTCCATACATGCATGGGCAGTGCAATACCCCGTCTGTGCGCTACTTCGAGCCTGGGCACAAGGGTTGCCAAATGGGTTCATGTGCATATTGACATCGGACGAACTCGCACCATGAAAGACTCTGAATGCCCGAAGGGAAATCGATACACGACATCCAAAAATATTTTACGTCACTTTAGTTTATCAACAAGGGATTCTAATCCATGGTGTAAACTCCCTCTTGTCATCAGCCCTACAAACAGCTGCTCCATACGTGTGACAACTTAAAGGTTCAACTTTTCACTTTCATCAAGATTCGGCCAACAGGCAAGGTTCCTCTTCATCATTTGTATCTACGACGAGAATTTTATACATCCCCCTTATTCGGAATACATATCCTCCTTTCTCCACTCCCATGACGTATCGACACAGCAGACGCTTGATATCATCATAATGCTGTTATTACAACGAGTCAAACAGTATAATGTTATGGAGGCTGTTCAGGCTATGAGAAAATGTCTTATTGGATGTCCAATGTAAGATAATTTCTCCGTCTTGTTTTAATTCATTTGCTGTGTCAATGATCGCGAGAATCGATGCCCCTTTGTCTTGAAACGTAATTCTACTTCGTTCACATACTGGCACCCAATTGCGTTGTAGTTCTTCTCTATCTTTGCGCTCTGGTATTCGAATTTGTAAACAGGCAAGAAATAATCAAGACGTCTCATATTAGCAACTTTCCACGAACAACATCACAAGGCCGCATCCCGCTCCCATCAACGTATCAACAAAAATTCATCGTCATTCAAAGATAAAAAAAAAAAAAGATCATTATAAACAGCGAATCAGACAAAACAAAAAAAAGAAGAAGATTGCAGCCATCTAAGTTTTCGGATCTACATCACACTCCCAGTTAGCATAGCTTCTTCACTTAGTACTACAATCTCATCCCGAAAACTCACCTATACAAATGGCATTGGCCTTCTCATGCTTCTGGTGACACCACACATACACCCGCTTAAACGGATCCGACGACTTGGGCTGCTTCCGCTGACTGCACAACCACCCAACCATGCCCTTGCTCGTAGCGTTCGTGCAAAACGTGATGCAGCAGTCCGTCACCGACGGGAGCCAGACGTAGCTGTGGGCTTCGAAGCCGAGATCCGTGCCGCCCTCGTCGTCGATGATGGTGGTGGCTTTACCGAGGAACGTGTCGTTGGAAAAGGCCTGGAAGGCGAATGTGTTGCCGGAGGTTGTTTGGTTGTTGAGGAAAGACGGGGTTGGTGATGAGGATGAGGATGTAGTTGAGCTTGTTTTTGTGGACGTAGTTGAGCTTGTTGAAGTCGACGATGGTGTGCTGTTGAAAAGGTCAGCTGATTCATCATCTTATTCCCGTCTTTGTCCTTCTCTCTTTTCTTTTTACCTAGATGTTGTCGAAGCAGCATCTGGAGGAGCATCCCCCTTAGAGTTCTTCGCCGCCAGTCCTCCTCCAACTCCACCCCCTATCGCCGCAGCGAGCACAATCACAGCAACAATCACAAGAATCCACAGCGTCCTCCGTGGCAGTCCGCAGATCCTCTTTCCTCCTTTCCTCCCCTTATGTGCCCCCTCAACATCTCCCGACATCCCGTCTGGCGTCACCGAAGATTGCTCTTCTCCTCCCATGACGGCAATCTTGTTCGTGTCTACCTCTTTTGGAATCACCATCTGCGGCGCATCGCCGTCGAGCCACTTGCGCTTGTACTCGGCTTCGAGGCGGGACATTGCCTGGGGGCTCGAATCTGGAACAACCTCAGGCAATCCCTCGTCGTGAGCCGGATACATGCCAAGGGTTGGTCCGTAACCTGAGCTGATGGTGGACGATGGGCTGGTAGCCCGGTTGATATGAGGATGGAGCAGGTGGTTCTCGTCTTCCGCCAGCGGTTGCTTCTGTGGCTCTTGTTTATGTACGACCTGGTCTTGCTCCTGAGCCGGGTCTTCATCATGTTGGCGCCCATTCGGGTCATCTTTTGTCGGCTCCATAGTAATAGTTGCGCGTCGAGATGGGAAAGGAAAAACCAACAAAACTAAACAGAACAGCCAAGAAGCGAAACAACGAACGGACAGGCTAAATCGTTTCCCCTTTGAACTCAAGGAAATCCACAAGACTAGTCTGGGGCCTCGCCCGTAGTTTATAGTACAAGGCAAATCAAATCACGAGAGCCTCATTGCTGGCCTCGGCTAGAGTCCGCAAGGCTCGAACCGATCCATCCACGACTAGCTCTGCACATCATTTCCCCCAAGTTGCAAGGCTCGAGATGAAAGATTGAACCCAATAGGCCCGAGTGTGCTTCAGCTAGCCATCACCACCAACGACCGTGTTCCGTGTCCCCCCTTGCACATGTAGTCTGTTAGATGGCATGGATCCTGTCAAAGACTCACATCCTCCCGACTTTGCCCAAAGAAGGGCGTTGCAGCTTTGTGCGCTCTCCCCTTTCGCAGACGTTTCCCTCCTCGGCCGTGGTTGAGAACGTAAGACGGAGGAAATATCGCCCGCGCGAGACGAGAGACGGGACGACACGCAGGATGCAGATCATCTATGCTATTTGTTGTCTCTGGCTGACTCATTTTGTTTCTTTAATTGAACGCGCTTGTCTGTAGTCGCATGCTCCTTTGCCGACTACGAGCACGTTCAGATGCATCTTCTCGTGCCCCTTGCCCTGGCCAAGAGTGGCTTTTTTAAGTCTAAATTTAACATCTCAGCCCATCATCATTGTATTACAACACCACTCGATTATTTTACAACTCAACTACAGCTATCAAAGCAAATTTCACAGCTAAAACAAAGCACAAATCTCAACATTTCAGTACAAAAATCACATGAAAAGGAAAAAAGGAGGGAAAGGGAAAGTAAGAAACCTTCTCCGCCGCCTGGATCCGCTAATCTCAGAGACTCAAAGGATTTCCCACCTAGCCCAGAACTGAGATTATCGCGGGATGCTGACCCTGTTTTCTTTCGACACTTTGTTGTTCTTCAGCCGCAATGTAACCTCAATATAAAACCGTGAATTTAACCTCCAATGGCTCCATTTATTAAGGCTCGCGTGACAGTGGGCCCCCAGCTTGAATCTGCGCTACCCGCGCTATTACACACAAAAGTTCAGGGCTTGGAAGCTTGGCTTCGAGATGCCGCTTCGAGCAGGGCCAACCGTCAAGTAATGAATCTCGTATATACGTCTGTACGTCGTTGGAATGCTAAATTAATATAGGTTCTAGGCTGGCAGACGAGCATGGCTGGTGTATTGCAGGAGCATGACATGGCATGGCATGGGATTCTCAACATCTCCACGCAACAGCAGCTTGGGTCAACAGGCACGTCGTTGCTACACCTTCACAACACTTGAAGCGAATGAACCCAAAGGGATGCGCAACCGAAATGTTCAAGGCCATTCGCTTTCACCGCCCTCTCCGATCCTACAACTAGAAACCCCCCGTCGCCAAACCCAGCCCTTGACTCTTTTTTGCTCTAGCCAAAGCCTAGTGATTCATCATATAAATTTCAAAAAAAAAGGAAAAAAAGACGAGGTTGATAAGATGGGTAACATGAAGCATCAAGTCATCGGCTCCTTGACATTGGAGCTCGTATTGCCAGTCCGTATCCCAAAATTTTCTAAAGCCTTGTGTCGCTGCAAAAGTTTGCTAAAATCCCCAATTCTTTCATCATCGGCTCTTGCGGTCCCTAAGCATTCAATTCCGTTAGTTGCAATCCACACAGAAAACACCGCTCGCGCTTGGAATAATGGATGCTACTTACGTGCTAAGTCTCCGGGAGAGCTGGTGCAGCTTCTTGTCATTGTCCGCCTCTTCTGCCGCCTTTTGCAAGGCAATCGCTCTCTCCTCCTCTTGGTGCTTCACCACTTCGTCATGAGTCGGGGGCAGATGCTCGTTCTGCAAGTCGACCTTTCTGGCATCCTCGAATGAGCTAATCGCATTCTTGATACCTTCGGCGCCGAGCATCAGAGTACCAGCGGGAAGCCTTCCACCGGAGACAGTCTTCAGCTCCGTCACGCGCTCAGACTCTTCACGCAAAACCTGGAAGACACGCGACATGCGGCCAATGGCCAGAATCTTGTTCTTGATCGCCCTGCGCTTGAACTCGATCGAGTTGGGGTCCTCCAGGCTACCAGGAAGAGATGGCGAGCTGGGGCCGGGGGAATGTGACGACGGCGTCTCTTCCTTGAGTTCCTCCTCCGAGCACGTGCTCAGAATGGCAATGAGCATATCCGTGATCTTTTCGCCCACAAATGGTAGCGACCAGGTGAAGACGTCCATGAAGTTGGGCAGCCAGTATGGATGAGGCGTGCAGTTGAACTGTCGAATATTCATAACATTGTTTTCATACTTGAGCACGGCGGCCTTGTTATTGTAGACATCGAGGTAGTTTGGCGCCGAGAAGATGGTCATGACACTGGGGAAGCCGGTCGTCCGCGTCTTGCGGTACATCCTGTAACCGGCATCCTGGGCCTCGTGGGCACGAATGACGGAGAGCAAGTTGTTCTTCTCCAGGAACGCACAGGCCGCGTGATATGAGAAGAAGTACGAACATCCTCGCACGTGGTTATGCAAAAAGAAATCGCTGGACTTTTCCTGTCCAAAGTCCTCAAGCGGGTCGGCCCATAGAATGTCGCACATGAGGCCCTGAGTCGGGGGCTCTCTGAATCGATCAATCTGCATTGTTATACGTCAGCTTCGTGGTCAGGTGCAATTGATCCCAAGCGTCGGAATGTCTTACGCTTCTCAGGTCGTCGAGAGTGTGCAGCTCGGGACTCAAGCCACCGTGGATGCACAGGAACTGCTTGTTCATGACGGCAGCCAGGGGAAGGCAGCAGAATGATTCCATGCAGGCTTCGTAGATGGCCTCCGAGTACTTGTGCTTACACTCGAGCTTGAAGGTGAAGTAGTCAGTCAGATGGCGACACTCGTGGTTGCCTCGCAGAAGCCACAATGTCTTGGGGTAGTGGATCTTGAGGGACCACAGGTAGAGGACACATTCGATGCTAAAGTATCCTCGGTCAACGTAGTCGCCGAGGAAGAGGTATCGCGTCTCAGCAGGATCGCCTCCGACCTCAAACAGCTTCATTAAGTCGTAGTACTGGCCGTGGACATCACCGCAGACGGTGATGGGGGCGTCCATCTCGAGAAGGTTGGGCTCGGCACGCAGCAGCTCGGTACCCTTTCTAATGATCCACAGCGCCTGCTCCTCGGTGAGTCGGCCCTCGCGATAAAAGTGCTGCTTGAGGAAGTTGATGTCGGGCTTTTCATGGGTGTCGTCTTCGAAAAACTGCTCATCCGTGGGCTTGAACATGGCCGGCGCCTGGACATCTGTAGACGGGCGGTGCCACGAGCGTTAGCGATGCCATGTTTGAGACATTGTGCGTGATGCGGTGCTGAATCCCGACAGCAGCCTCCCCTTATCAACAACAATGGCGGGGTAGCTGGTTGAGAGAGAGGCGGCGACGATACAGCATGGGGCTGCAGGACAGACGTACCTTTGCACACTCGCTCGAGCGTGCTCACCTGAGTGCCATCCTCCATCATATGGATGGTGAAGTCGATCTCGGGCAGCGGCTTCTTCTCCTGAATTGCGCGAATGGCATTGTCGACCTGGGCGGTCCGTCGAGGCGCCTGATCGGCGTGGTCGCCTTCGGTGTCCATGGCGGGCGACTGGAGTGTTGAAGAGCTGAATGAAGACCGAGAGGCTCGAGAAAGTACAGGAGATGCTGTACTTGGGGATATTTAAGAAAAGAAGAGGCTTCTGAGGCTCTGCTCGGCGAGGGTTCCAAGAGGTCGCAAAGGCCCTGGAGCGGCGGGAGCGTGGCGGGTAGCGGTGAGGGGGACAAGCAACAGGCCTGCAGCTGCTGGTTGAAAAGCTAAAGCTGGGGGCGAGACAAGGCTCGTGGCAGAAGGGCAGACGACAGAATGTTGGCGAGGTCACGGAGTCCCGTATGGCTGTGCCCAAGACCAAAACCGTGCGCTGGCGAGGCAAAGGCGAGATAGGCTGACAGGAGAAGAAGTTGGGGAGCTGGCCATGGGGCAAAAGGCTCTGGAGGCTGCCTGTAGGTGTTCTGGCAGCGCTAAAACTGCCTGCTGTGTCCTTGCAGTCCCTCTCCTTACCTTAGTAGACCGCGACCAAGAGGCAAGTAGCCTTGGGTACCTTGGGTTGGCTTGGGCAAAGCGGGACAGGAGGTTATGCCCAATCACGATCGGACTTTAAAGCATATTGGCAACGGAGCACCGCCAAAGGAGCTGATGCAGATGTTGCTTCCATTACATTTTGCTACATTTTTAATTTTATGAGGCATCCGTCTATTATATGCACGTGTACTTGAGCCTTTGAATTACTAAGTGCCTTAGTATCCAAGGCACTACCTTACGATACTAATTCCAGCAGCAGCAGCATTGGTTTGGATGTTTTTTTTTTCTGGCGGCGCCACCAGCCGTAAAATAAAGGGGCGGGGAGATGCCTCCGAGAGTCATTGACATCACCCTCGATCCCCCCATACCGCATCCAACTCCGGTATCATTTTGTCAGTCATCTTGTAGCTAGTAACTAGGTACTCTGTAAGAATTGATCAGTCTGGTGAGCTGTTGCAAAAAGCAGCTTCTCCACGACGGCGAGCAGCTCCGAGATGAGACCAAGCTGTCCATTAGCCAGACTGGCTGCCCCTCCTTTGTTACCTTATGCCTCCTCACGGTAAGACCAAGCACGAGTACCAGCGTGTACCTCGCTGGAGACCGACGGTCCCTGTTCCCGCTGGAGCCCCGCCCCAATTCCGCCGCCAGACCCTGAAGACGGTTTGCCGTTTGGGGTAGGATGATGTAAGCTGGGATCCAATCCCAAAAGAGGCCTCTTGAAGATTGCTTGGAGCGTGGGTTGTGCTGTATGTAGAAATATACATGTAGAAGCTGAGATTCTGTACACACGAGGCATCAAGCACTTTCACGGTTCGTTAATGTCATGCGGACAAGCCAACACAATACAAGACACCTTTTGGTAAGAATAATTGAGGTTTCTGCATCCATGTTGGGATTGATAAAATATATTCATACCCTACTCCTTTTGCTTTTTCGAGACGACGCTATTCATCAGCAGCAAATGTATGTGCATATTCTATTGTATGTTTTGTCATTCCGTTCGTGTCCTTTTTTATGTGTGTATTTTATTCGTCTTTGGCCCACTCTATAGCTCTTCATGGCAAGCTGTAACCGCCATCCACAATCATATCCAAGCCCGTGGTATAAGAGCTCGCATCGCTCGCCAGGTAAAGGTATGCGCCCTTGAGCTCGCCGGTCTGACCCTCACGACTGTAGAGATGCACATATTAGCAACTGGACACTTTGCACAACAACGGTGATTCTCCACTAACCCCATGACAATCTTGCCCTTCCAGATATTCTTTGTCTCAGGCGAACAAAAGGTGGAGATTTCAGTAAGAATGTATCCGGGGGATACGGTGTTGACTCGAGCAAATCCGGTCCACTCAACCGCCAAACTCTTGCCTACATGAAAGTAATCGTGTCAGTCTTCGCCATCATCATCATCATCATCAAACCCAGGCCTGACCACTTACAAAAGTGGATCACGGCGGCCTTGGAGCTGTTGTACACAGCCTGCAGCTGCGGAATGTTGACGATGCTGCCGCTCATGGACGCCGTCGCGATGAAGCTTCCGGCGATGAAGTTCTCCAGAGGCTTGCCGTCAATCGTCGTGCCCTGCTCCTTCTGGCGGCGGAAATGGGCGCCGGCGCTCTTGGCACACCACATGACGCCGTCCACGTTGATGGCCATGACGTTGCGGGCCGTTTCGACAGAGCCGTCGATAAAGGCGCCCTCGGTCCACGGGATGCCCGAGTTGGCGACGAAGATGTCGAGGCGGCCGTTGAACTCCTTGACGATCTCGGTGATGGTCTTGTCGACATCATCGGCCGAAGTAACGTTGACCTGGTACGCCTTGCCTGCGCGGGGGGTGGTTTCACAGGGTTAGCAACAATCAACATTCTCCAACAACAAGCCCGAAAACACATCATCCCACTCACTCTTGACGCCGTACGTCTTGGCAATGTTCTCGGCCGAAGTCACAGCCTGCTTGTTGCTGTTGTACCAGATGGCCACATTGGCGCCGGCCTCTGCAAACGCCTCGGCAACCGCGAGGCCGATGCCAGCTCCAGCGCCCGACACGATTGCGGTTCTGCCCTTGAGAGAGAAGAGGGGCAACACTCGGTCGACGTTGGGGACGGCCGAGTTGTCGTGGGGAAAGGTGCCGTTTGTTGTTTGGACCATGTTGGCGGTAGGTTGTGATATGTAACAGGGAAGACGTCGATAATGATGGGCAGGTATAATCAAATAGGGAAATCAAGCAACAAAAGGAAGGGTATCAAGATCACGACTGCTGGCCCAAGTGACACTATCGCGAGATGCTGCTGCGGGGAGACGTGGCCATGCCGCACCTCTTTATACATGTATCTACATGCAACAAAACTGCAACATGTCACCGCTTTCCGCCGTAAATACTCCGTCCGCAAGACGACTCCAAGGCGGGCCCGTCCGGTGCGACATTTACCACCATTTGTCCGTCCGCGTTGACGCGCTCCAATGTCGACTCGTTATTTCTGATATGCTTGACCTCGTCACTCCAGCCCCATGTGGGGTTATCTCCGTTGGAAACGGCCTGGCGTCCGACCCCACGGTCCAATGTTCGAATTCTTACCTGTACCTGTACGATGTCGGAATGTCACCGTTTCAATTGATTGGCAGCTTGGCATCTCGTGTCTATAGCAGCCCACGTGCTCTGCTTCCCTCGTCCGTTGTCTGCGTGTGCCTGAGAGTTATCCGACATCTTCAGGACCCCTCAAATGCCCATCCCTCCCATGTACATTACATACACACAATGGATCAAATGATAAACTTCCATGTTCCCCCCGCCAAGCAACTGAAACTCTTTGGGACATTCCGCCAGCCGCTTGTTGGGCAGCTAAAAGCCCAGCGCCAGCCCAGCCAGCTAAAAAATGCTCCTAGCGGATCCATGGCCTTTTTGCGAAGTCGGACTATGGCTGAGTCTGGGAGTTGCGCCTGAAGATCCCACGTCATAGGCAGTGGGGGTTTCTGGCTGCGTGAGTCTTTTGGTCGTGTGTTTGGATCTCGAATGTTGTGGCTTGGGGAATTGATAAGATTAGTACGCTGTTCAATGAGCGGAGTTGCCTGCCGTGATTGGGTGATTTGTTGTGTGAACGGCAATTGAGAGCCAGAGTCAAAAGCCGATATCACGAGCGGAATCACCCAAAGTGTCTATACCGCAACAACATCTCCATCCACAGCTTTGTGTTTTTATCATCGACATGTTCATTTCTAGACTACAAAAATGTACAGACTATACGGGGCAATAGTCTACATATCATCTTCTCCCATTTCCGAAGCCTTATCGCAGTTGCATGTTCGATGCAATCACTTCCTCGCGTGGAAAGTTGGTCATTTTCCAACGGGAGATGAAATCATCACGGCTGACTATTGCATACCTCTGTTAGCCTTTTCAAGTTCGCGATGAAAAGGTTTCCGTGGGCAAGATAAAACATTGGTGGCTGAGTGACTTACTATAGGCACCACAAATGCGCCGCAGTCCCTCAAACGCGCTTCTGCCATGGAGTACACGCCAGTTATCAAAGACTTGTAAGAGTCAGTACGACGCCGCAATATCCAATCCTACAGAATAAGGTCACTCACTCAAGACTCGCCCTGGTTCAAGCTGAAACCAATATTCGCTTTCTTTACGCTTCAGAATCTCATCCCACTTTCGTGCCGCTTGGTACCACGCATCAACGTCGATATCCACCGGCACCACTCCTCGGTCATCGTTGTTCCATCTGATCCGATGCAACTTCTCGCCAGTAGCTTCAATCACAGGATAGGCCATATCTGGTGCAATTGCCACGCCTTGGTTGCCACTAGCATGCCACGGGAGCTTGACCTTGCGCAGTATGTCGAAATCCCCTGGTGATTCCTTTCTAAGTGCCTCTGCGGCATGGAATCCATCTACAAGCAGTGATTGTCCGCCCAGCACCTCGTCCGCGGGCTTATTTGTAGGTGGCGTGTGAGATAGCAGGTGAAACGCTTGCAATCCTGCGGGCTCGGTAAAATAAGTCGTGTCTGTATGAGCCGGGAGAGCCAGATTGGTATAAGCTGTGTCGGCGAGGGCTAGGTCCGGGATGAAATCGTAAAAGCCTCCGTAATGGGTATTTCGAATAGGTCCAATCGCTTCCAAGAGCTTCTCCGTATCCTCAGGAGTTTTGGGTGAGTTGGTAACAAAGCAAAACCCATATTGGCGCTACTCATGGTAAGTTTTGGTGAGTCACGGAAAGAGAACAATTACACACAATCTTTCCCGTCAGGTCAGCCATCCCCCCCGGAGAAGTACTGTTCATGACACTGTCAAACTCGGCTTCTGGAGGAGCCGAGGATACCATTGCACCCCATAGTCTTCTCTCGCTAGAGATCATGTTAGAATCCATAGGCTTATAAGCTCATTTGTCCTTAGGCACTTACTCTTGAACTGTGGGTTTCTTATTATGTGTATCCTGAACAGTAAAGCTGAGCCAAGACCAAGGGTAATGGCTTTTATGAGAATCCGACCCTGGCGGTTGTCAATTAGTTTCATCCCATAGATGTTCAAGGCAAAGTATCTTGGAATAGTGAGTACATAGTATGTCAACGCCGTCACTTTTGGGCGAGATTTCTGTAGGCGAAACGTCCTTGGGTATCTGCAAGCACAGAGAGATGAGCATTCGACGACATTGTGAATAATAATGGCTTTGGCCAATACTTGCCGCAAAAGTATCAAAGTTGCGCTGTAGGGTATCTTGATTTACGCATTTGGCGCAACGGCAGTTGTCGCTGCATAAAAGGGTTCGTTGGTTAGTGTTACATTTCATGCGTGATGCTGTCATTTGTGGCATGTGAGCGCACACACCGGAGCCATATTTTGGACCTGGAAGCTGCAATTAGTGGTTCTGCTCTGTTTTGTGCGCGTCCATCAGTAATAAAACAGAGCAGACACTTACAATTCAGCTTTGACAGGGGATCCGGAGTCATCGCTCTTGAAAACGAGTCCTTTGGGGCCAGTCTCGAGGGTTGTCGCATAGAATCGTGACCTTGGGAGAGCAGCCGAGGCTTGCCGAGGAACGAAGCGCAGGCGGCCAAGGCCAGATCTGCAAGAACAGCAAGAATGAGCAAAGAACGAACTATTCAAAGGTTTAAGGGAAATATCGCAACCAACCTAAGTGTACGGCCCTTCGACAAGAATATCATGGCTCAGTGCGTAATGAGGACGAATGATGAGAATCGGCCCATGTTTCCATCAGCCCGGCACCAAGCTCTACTTGTAGCTGCGGGTATTGCTAGCATGGGGCGTTAGTTGCAACTGGTGCCGAAAGCCTGCGAACGCCAGAAAAAGAGGGCCCGGACAATACAGGCACTCCATTGAAGCTCTGATATGCTACAAGGCTCAACTATAGCTCTGAGCACGAGCGGCTCTACGAGTATAAGGCCCGTGGACATTACCTATAGTACCTGGTACATACACGTATGCTAAGAGGTACCTAAAGTAGTATCCATCGCTTCTCTCTTCACGTTTCTCTTACTCTCATCTTCACAGTGCGACTTCTCCCATCCCATTCTATTAGTATGTAATCAATATCCCGTATGTACGGAGTGACAACAATTGGAAAGGTGCCAATAGAGCCAAGACCAAAAAGATCCGCCAATGCTAGCAGCCTAGGCCAGCACTGCCCTTTACAACAGCTTATAGGGCTCCTCGTTCGAATCCCGTTACACTGTATCTCTGATTTAGATCAGCATTTGGGAAGTCAGCGAATCAAAAACAGTGCCTGGTAGGGTGACCAATCCTCTCGCAGTAGGACATTGAAGAGAGTATGGAAGCCTTCATAGCATTTTGAACCTCACCCGAGGCTCAGAGCGGCTGAATCGACCCGGTTTCTGGATTACAAGGCTCTGCGGTTTCTAAAAAATAATAAAGGACAAACCAGCCAGTAGTTCGAGACCGCACATATTAGGAAGTTCTCTCCCATCTAGTGGAGATATAGGTTAGCAAGCGGAGGGCAGAAAAAGCGAAACCGCAAATGAAATAATGCCTATAGTACCTGCTTGCTTGGTACAATTCGCAATAGGTACCTATAAGCGGACATTCAATCAGCTCACTAAGGACGTACCTATAGAGTGCTTTCGTGAAAGAACGCCTATTTGGCCAGCACCCGAATTGATTATGTATTATAGTAGCAGTTACTATAAAAATAGAGATATAGTAGCAGTTAGTAGAGAAACGTAAATATAGGAGCAGCTATTGAGGAAATATAAATATAGTAGCAGATACTTGAAGAATAGGTATATGCTTTAACGTGTGGGTGTTTATAATCTTCTCGATCTCGAGTTTTCTGTCTTCCGCTTTGTGAGGTTGTATTTTGCTAGCCCTTTCCACAGCTGGTTCATGCACCTTTAAACATCAAAGGTACCTTTCAGCCACGTGAAGAATGCCCGCGCTTATTAGTCGGCATGAGCTTAGCTGTACATTCTGCTGAAGATAATCCGACTTCCGGGACTCTATCTGCCCACATCAAACAACTTCAAGATTTCCTGGAAAAGTTGAAATCGTGCAGCCATAGTTCGCCATCCTTCTGCAGCAAGCTCTCCTCTGCTGTCGCTCATTTTCTCCTTCTCCTCCTCTCTCCTGCTGCTTGATTTGACGACTCTTTCAGCGAGGCGCTTCCGATCGCCGCATCGCACAAATTTCTCCGATCTCGATACAAACGCTTTGCGCCGCGCCCTGCTGGTCATGGAAGCATCGTCTTCGAGCCGACGCCGCTGCACCAAAGCCTAATTCTTGTGGTAATACAAGGGCGTGGATCCCCGGGGGAACAAAGGTCTTGCAGCATGAATTCGCGACAGCGCGGGTTCGACACGTTTTACGACGACCAAGTCGCAGCCCGTCGACAATTTTACGCGCGCGAGACTGCCGTGAATCGCATCAACGACTACGCCGTCCTCGTTACCGTCGTAACGCTTCTGGTAACTTTGCTGGCCAAGTTCTGCAGCCCCGACGGATCGATTGAGGGCATTTTTGTGCTGGTTGGCGGTTTTCTATGGGACGCGCTGGTGTTTCTAATCCCCTCGCCGCTGCTTTTCGCAATCGATAACTGGATGGATTCTTCTGCGACACGACCGATGCGCGATACTACAAACCAGAGCACCTATGCTGCTAAAAGCCAAGCCATGCGGAGGGTGATGGGCCTGGATCGCCAGGATGGCGTCATGAACTCGGTCCTTCGTGCTAGAACAAGAGCGTTGTCTATGACGGGAAGTGTTCTGGGCCTCAAGATCGAATCGGACCGGCCGGCGGGATTGGGAAATCGAGATAATTCATGCTACCAGAATAGCGTTCTCCAGGGGCTGGCTTCGCTGCACTCGATGCCCGACTATCTCGCAGCTTGTCTCAAGGGTGTGGACGAGACTGGCCGTGCTGCTGATGAAAATGTAGCACACACGCTGCGGATGCTCATTGCAGATCTAAACGATGTTTCGAATAACGGAAAAACACTATGGACGCCTTCCTTGCTTAAATCTATGAACACGTGGACGCAACAAGACGCGCAAGAGTACTATTCCAAGGTATTGGACGATATCGAAAAAGGAGCGGCGCTGGTGGCCAAGAACTCGTCTTCTGATAAATTCATGGGGCTGGAGACTGGCGAATATAGCAATGCGGACGAGCGTTCCACCAGTGAGCATAGCGACGACAGCGGCTACCAAAGCCAGTCGTCGAGCTCCAGAACAGACTCGAAAGGAATTGCGCGGAATCCCTTGGAAGGTCTTCTGGCTCAGAGGGTGGCGTGCGTGCAATGCGGCCATTCGGACGGGCTGTCCATGATTCCGTTCAACTGCCTGACTCTTAGCCTCGGACTCGACAAGAACCATCATGATCTATATGAACGACTAGACTCCTACAGCAAGGTTGAGGCAATCGAGGGAGTCGAATGCCCGAAGTGCACTCTGTTGAAAGCGCAGAGACTCCTCACCAAGCTCGTAGAGAGGTTGGAGGAGGGCGGTTCTACGAAAGAGCAATTGGGCGAGCCTCTGCGAAGACTGGAAGCTGTTCAAACAGCCCTGGAGGAAGACGACTTTGACGAAGAGACGATCAGGGATCGCTGCAAGATCCCCGCGCAAAGCAGAGTCAATGTGACCAAGACGAAGCAGATGGTGATTGCGCGACCGCCTCAAAGTCTGGCCATTCATGTCAACCGATCCGTGTTTGACCCATCTACCTTTAACATGATTAAGAATTCCGCACCCGTGAGCTTCCCGATGACGCTGGATCTGGGACCATGGTGCCTGGGAAGTGCAGAGCCAGAGAAGCCTACGAACGAAAAGGCTACAGACGAGAAGGGTGAGAAAGACGACGAAGAGCAGTGGCATCTGAAACCCATGTCCTCCATGGTGGCGGGTGATTTGGGAGAGTCGAGGTTGACAGGGCCCATCTACGAGCTGAGAGCAGCTGTAACACACTACGGGCGACATGAGAATGGGCACTACATTTGTTATCGTAAATATCCGCCTCTCAGGCAAGAAAGCGTCGATGATGCAGGCGACGCAGACGACAAAGAAGCTGACTCGCCCGAGGCGGTTGACAACAAGCCAGCAGACCCGAATGCAGAAGAGACAACAGAGAAGAGCACTGGCAAGATCGACAGAGATGCATCTTGGTGGAGACTCAGCGACCACAACGTGTCACAAGCCAACGAAGAGACAGTCATGAGCCTGGCTCCCGGAGTGTTTATGCTATTCTACGAGTGCGTCGACCCCTCCATGATACTGCAATCCGAAGTGGAAAACGGGGCCGCGGCATTTGCAAACACCGACTCACAAGACGCCGCTGCGGCGAAGCAAGACGAAAGCAAAGCGGTGAATGGAGCCACCGTTATCCCAGTAACAACGGCATTGCCCTCGGAAGCCGTTAAAGAAGAGACAACGACGCCTTCAGAGGTGGTAGCAGACGCCGTGAAAGCTGAATCAAAGGCTGCCTCTGGAAACGCTTTGGAAGAAGGAGACAAGACGTCGGCAACGCAACACTGTTGAGGCGACGTGCTCTGTTTCTCTCTTCATTTTTCTTATTTCTTCGTCTTGTCATATATATCTGCATAGCGACGGCGTTGGTGAGATTTCAAAAACAGGATCAGTGGGACTTGGATTTTGGCGTCAATTATATGGGGGAAAGCGGGTTCGTCGGGATACTTGAACGGTAGATGCCATGCCGTGAACCGGCGAGAGAATGAAATACCAATTTGCCACGGTGGATGCCACACGAGCAGAATAATATGTAGTCCATGCTTCTCAGTGTAGTCCGTGAGTGTATCCAAGTAGGAGAAGAAAGAGAGTCGGGGTGTTTCGGCATCCGATGGAAACAGAATGACCCATGTGCTGTACGAGCATTACACGCCACGCCTCACTCTGCGTCACCTGTAACCGTTGCCGCGTGGTGCGATTTATTGGATGGATCGGGAGGATTGAAAGACGGGTTGCGCCGAGAGGAGACGACACAGCCACGCAGGACTAATTGGATGCCATTGAATGAATCCATACAATACCCGGTTCTGTCTGTACTAGCAAGCAATAGTCGTCAAGCCAACGAGCTTGTTGCACTGAGCAGGAAACGTGCGACTAACGTGGGAAGAGAAGCAGAGAATCGAGTTGACGATGCATCAGCATCAATTGTTGTTGCTCGTGACAGTATCAGTCCAGTCCAGATCGTGGTCTGGATTTCTGCGGGCAAAGCGACTACTGCACTCTAGCTGGGCCCCGGTCGCAGAATTATAACCCAAGCTGGAAAAGGCCCAGGATCCGACACGGCCAGGGAGCGAGAAACAAGCACTACGCTAGACAGGGGCACGCTGAATCTCGGCCCAATCGGCGCCCCGTTGCCAGGACCGTTTGGCGCCTGTTCCCTATAGATTTTAGCGGTCGTTCCACCTGTATGGCCGCTGTTGGCAGAAAGCTTGGCGGGCGAGCAAAAAACTTTCAATCTGTGCCGTACAGAAATAGCGCTCGCTCAGGGGGGCCCAAGACGGCTTAGGCGAGTATCCAAGGGGGTTTGTTAGCATGGATGTTACTAGCATGAGCAGGGCTCCAGGGGGAAGGGAGCCAATTGATCATTGATGGGACCCCTTTTTTTCCTTCTTTCCGGCGAATCCATACGTGTATGCTTTGATGCAGGATCAGGTACGGAACAGGGGGGGAGGAATGCTTGGATTGCCTAGGGGGGAAAAGTTGGAAGAAAAAAAAACCTTGAAGGCAATTTGTTAGCCATCCAAGGATTGATTCGTCCGTGACTAGCTAGACGAGGCTAGACGAGATGGGCGTGAGAGAGAGATGGATGGGACGAGATCTGGTGGGTTTTGTTTGGATGTTTGGGGATTATATCTCGAGTACAAGTGCTGATGCATAGATAATGTAGGTGCTTGAGGGGCGATGAGATGCGATGCGATGCGACGCGGTGCACGTGTTCAATGTCATTGATCAGCGGTGATGCCCTTTCAAATGAGATGAGTAGCTCGTACAGCGCAGATTGGCGGATGTTGGCTCTGCCCGTAGATACGAGGTGCAAGCAGCTCTGCGGTGGAGATGGTTTGAGGCAGAGGCCCGCTAAAACAACTTCAGCCACGGACGTGTTCCGTACTGGAGTCGACGCCTTTGGAAGATGGAAGGGTACTGGAGCCGTGGCTACGACAGCTCGCTCTCCCTTGGGTGACACGAGCCTGGTTATCGACTCTAGGCGTCGGCAAAATGCGATTTGGACGCCAAGAGGCAAAAGGCAAGAGAGGACTGATACGACCAAAAGCGCCTTGTTTGGAGGACGGGTGAATGTACCGGCAGAATACAGAGTGAAGTTGCCGGTGTGGCCAGATGTAATTCAATGCAATGCTGTCAAATCGACGGAACACTCACTTGGTCAATCAAAGTCAATATTCCAACGCCGGAATCTCCATCCCGCTATTGGCGCTATTGCCTTACGGAGGCACCAGACAAGACATGCGCATCATCAAATCTCTCGCTTGGAGCAACTCGCGGTTGCCGCCGTGCTAAATTCGCTCCTTTGTACCTCTGCGCCTCTTGCCAGTGCGCGTAGTGCCAAGCGGTACTTCGTATTGAGTACTGGCTGTAGCGCGTGCTCCGGATACAGTACAGACAGACACATGGACGCCTTGCGCCTGCCAAACAGAACCGCGCATTCCCCAGCTGGGGCGTTCAAACAGACTCTGCGACGTGGAAGCTCCTTCCATGCCAACCAGAAGTGGCAAGCACGGTAGGTGCAAGGTAGCAGTGCTTGCCGGAGGCTTATGCAGAGAAGGTACTCGTACGGAAGTACTCGTCCAGACTCCAAGTAACTTTTGCCGTCTTGGACCGATCTGGACTGGTCAGCATCGTTCTTGCTCTTCATAAGTGCGGTGCGTTGCTCTTTCCCGTCTCTCGCGCCGCCGAGCTTCCCATCCTTGGAGCCTTGCATTTTCGCCAGATTCCTTTTCCTTCCTTTCTTTATTCTTTGTCGCGCTCCTTGTTGGTGAATCGAGCGCCATCGTCGACTTCGTTTCTTGGGCCGTTTTAATGCGCATTTGGATTTGACCTTCTCTCAGCTCTGCGGATTGTTTTTGCCTGCTCTTCTTTTTTTGGTCGGGTCGAAGCTGCATGATAATTCCTGATCGCCCATTCTTTTTTTCCCTAGCCCGCGCCTTGTCTTGGCATTGGTGATCTTGACCGAAACCGCACACCCTGGTAGCTCTGCACGACAAAGGAAGCCGAGGAAAGGCGACAAACGGCCAGGACAATTCTGCGCATTTCGCTGCGATTTTGGATCGGATTGAATAGGTGGACAATCACACCGTTGCGGCTTATTTGGTTTCGATTTACACCGTCGCCGACCGACTTTGCTGCGCCGTGTAACCCCTGGTGGCACAGCTCCAGAAGCTGCGCAACGCTGCCAATCAATTTTGTTAACAACGACCATCGCACGACATCTCCGCTTCCACCTTTGCTTGTGTTGGCGGGACCGGGCGGGAACGCCAAGGGAGTCGTCACCTCTGCCGAGCTGCACAAGAACTACAATTGCCGGTGCCAAGCAAATCATGGCCGTCTCAAATGCCAATGGCGGCTTGCTGCCGATGATGGAGGTCTTGCCCTCTGTCAAGTTCCAGATTCCTGTTTGGGCACACATAATGTAAGGAAGAATGCTCTTGTGCGGATGATGTGCCTAAGCGGGCAGCTTCAGATGTTGCGGGAATATTACGAATGGGGGCGCTGACTTACCGTGTAGAAACTGGATGTTCTTTTCGAATGTCACCATCATCTTCAACAAATGGCTTATAGACACTGCTGGATTCAGTAAGTATCCAATATCCACCACAGATGACACAGTCTGGTCTTTTTGGGATAAAAGAAGCTAACGAGCAATTACAGAATACCGTAAGTCGGACTCGCGTGGATTGCTTTCTGGGGAAGACAAGAGAAAGAGGTTCTGTATTCGAGAGAGTCTTGTACTGACCGCTGATGATAGCCATTCTGCTCACCTGTTGGCACCTCATCTACGCCACCATTGCAACTCAGATCCTCGCTCGCACGACGACGCTCCTCGACTCCCGCCGCAGCTTTCCCATCTCCGGCCGTCTTTACCTCCGCACCATTCTCCCCATTGGCCTACTATACTCCGGCTCTCTCATCTGCTCCAATGTCGTGTACCTCTACCTCTCCGTCTCCTTCATCCAGATGCTCAAGGCAGCCTCTCCAGTTGCTGTGCTGTTTGCCTCGTGGTCCTGGGGCGTTGCCGAGCCGAACCTCTCCAAGTTCGTCAACGTCTTGGTTATCGTTTTTGGCGTTGCCGTGTCTAGCTTTGGAGAGATTCAGTTTTCATGGGTTGGCTTCTTTTTCCAAATCGGGGGCACTTGCTTTGAAGCCGTTCGCGTTGTCATGATTCAAGTCATGCTCAGCGGCGAAGGCCTCAACATGGACCCCCTTGTCAGTCTCTACTACTACGCACCCGTCTGTGCGGTTATGAATTTCCTCATCGCCCTCGTCAGCGAGATTCCCAAGTTCCAATGGGAACACGCCGCCCAGGCTGGCTTTGGGATGTTGTTCCTCAACGCTTCTATTGCCTTTATTCTCAACGTTGCCAGCGTATTCTTGGTAAGCTAGCCCCCTTGACCCCCCTCTGCATATACGTATGCAGACGTTTGGCAATAATCTTGTTGAATGCTAATGGAATGCCCTTGTGCAGATTGGCAAAACTTCAGGTCTAGTCATGACCCTTACTGGCATCTTCAAGAGCATCCTGCTCGTGGTCGCTTCCGTCCTCATCTGGTCCACTCAAATCACCTTTCTCCAAACCGTGGGCTACACGATTGCTCTTGCTGGACTCACCTATTACTCTCTTGGCTACGACCAACTCGTCAGCCTTGGAACGGCGACACTTGCTTGGACGAGCGAGTTCTTTGCATCGAATGGTAGTGCAATGAGGTCAAAAAGACTCATTGTAGTTGGGGTATCTTCCCTTGTGGCCGTAATCGTGGTGCTCGAGTTGACCATGAGCGAAAGGGGGAGGAGGATGCTGGCCGGTCCTTCATGGCATGGAAGGCACGGTCATGGAGGTCACGGAAGTCAATGATTGATATTTAATGATGTTGAAGATAAAAGAGAAACGATTTTAGCATTTGCTACGAGATGAGTATATGATGGGCGTAGCGAACCACAAAAAAAAAATAAGAATAATACCCCTATTAATTCAAGTTTGATCTATTCATCCAGACCGTGTGCATGTCAAGCGAGTAAAAACTTTACTAATGATTGCTTTTCTTCTTCTTTGGCCTTGTTGCCAGTCTTGATGGAATTCTTTTTGCTAAGCTGAGGTAAAAACAAAAGTTCCCCTTTTCCCTCCATTATCCAGGGTATATAGTCTTCTCTTTCTTTCATGAGAAAGAAGCCAAGCAGTAGTACCGTTTCCGTTGCTTCCAAACTGTAACAAGTAGTAAAACGTGCGCTTACACACATAACTAAGAGAGAGAGAGAGAGAAAGGGGGGGGGGGGGGAAACATGGCATGCCGATGCTGTCCCATCTTCTCAAGGCCTCATCGGCTCCTACTGCGACGGCGGCTCCGGCTGCGGTGTCTCTCTCGGCGGGGGGATAAGCTGCGGTCTCGTCTGGCCCGTCTGTCGCGATCTCGATCTCGGTCACGGTCTCTCCGGTCCTTGTCCCGCTCCCGCTCCCTATCCCTATCCCTATCGCGGTCACGGTCTCTATCGCGGTCTCGTCGGTCCCTATCTCGATCTCGATCTCCGTCTCTGTCTCTGTCTCTGTCTCTGTCTCGCTCGCGGTACCGGGTCCTATCCCGACTGTTGCTCCGCGATCTGCTCCTATGTCGATCGTCCCGGGCTCCAGGGGCATATCTGTCAACTGCTTGTCCATCACCCTTGTGCCGCGCGGCAAGTGTTCTCTCACCACTGTTCTTCTTGTCGTCCACGCCGGGGATAGGCAGGCCCTTCTCTCTGGCGTCCTTCTGAGCCGCCAGGTAAGCCTTGGCCTCCTTCTCCCGCTTCTTGACTTCTTCGAGTTTCCACTCCTCGAGCTCGTCCTTAGAAGCTCCGTGAGGCACGGCGGATGATCCTGGTCGAGACCGCGAGCGGCTTCGTCGGTCGCTGGTACGGTCTCTTTCCCGGTCCCGGTCCTTTCGTTGGTCTCGATCCTTGTCTCTATCGCCTGATCGATCACGGCTGCGGCGACGGGGCGAGCGTGCGTCCGACCTACCGGGATAGTAGGAGTCTGCTGCGCCGCGACGACTATCTCTTGACCGACTGCGTTGTCGTCGAGCACGGGAGCGGCTCCTATCGCGTCGATCAGTGCGTAGACGAGAACCGCTGCGGCTTCTGTCACGTCGGTCGGCTCTTGCATGAGAGCGCGAAGGCTCCCTCCGGTCCCTGCTGCGATCCCTACTACGGTCTCGTCGTTCGGTCTTGATTCGGGAACGGCTCCTCTCTCGTCTGGCAGATCTAGCGCGTGACCGACTTCGAACCCGTCGCCTTGAGCTGCTTCTAGCAACAGATCGATCGCGTCTAAATCTCGAGCGACTTCGCTCATGTCTGTCATCTCTTCGGCGCCGAGACCGACTCCTGTCTCTCCGCAGCTTTGAACGGCTTCGATCCCTTCTATCTCTAACTTTGGAACGACTACGATCGCGCCTTGGCGAGTCTGAACGATGATCACGGCGGCGCCGGTCATCCGTGTCTCGTGGGCGGCTTCGATCCCTATCCCTATCGTTGTCTTTTTCGTGAGTTCGTGAGACGCTTCTGCTAGAAGGGCGCTCGTCCTTTGCTCCTGACAGTTTTGGGTCGATGGCTGGTATCGAGTCTCTCCTTTCGCTTGGTTTTCTAGACACTGCGGTCTTGGAGGAGTCTCTGCGAATTGGGTTAATGGCCGAAGCTGGACCAATCTTCTTGGGAGGGGGGGCCAAGGTAGAATCAATCTCCATCTCGAGCTTTGTGCGTGTTGATTTGCTGCTTTCTCGCAACAGGTCGGCCAAAGCCTCTTGTTCCAGTCGCTCATGATCCTCCTTGGACATTTTCTCTTTCATCTCTTCAGACAGAACCACCTTCTCCTTGCGAGAGCCATCACGATCGCGATCACGCTCACGATCACGGTCGCGGCCCCTGTCTCTATCTCTGTCCCTGTCCCTGTCCCGATCTCGATCTCTGTCGCGATCTCTGTCGCGATCTCTGTCACGATCGCGCTCCCTTTCTTCCTTCTCCCGCTTCTCTCGTTCCTTGTGCCGTTGCTCTCGCTCCAAGTCACGTTGTCGCTCTCTCTCCTCACGCTCGTTCTCGCGCTTCCTTCGGCGCTCATCTCTTTCTTCTTGGCGTTTGAGTTCGGCCTTCTCACGCTCCTTTTCTTCTCTGCGGCGTTCTTCCTTGGCGATACGCCTCTTTTCCTCTTCAATAGCAGCTTCTTTCTGCTTCAGTTCCTCTCGTACTCTGTCGCGTTCGGCTTGCTTAGCTGCGGTATCGGCGGCATATTCCTCGTCCGTCTTGGCCCCTCGTTTTTGCTCCTCGTTGGCGATTTCCTCACCGATCTCGGCTCGCCTGGTCTCCCGAATACTCTGCTCGATTGCGCCGACGTCAATCAGTTCTCCGATGACTTCCTCGGCCTTGTGATACACTCCCGATCGCTCCAACGCGCCATCGATGAGAGCTGCGGCCTTTCTACGGTCCAACGTCAGGAGCTGATGGGGGTTGCGCTCGACTTCTTGCTCGGCCACCTCGATGATGGCCTTTGTAACCTGAGCCTCGTAGTCCTGATGGCGAGAAAAGGAGAAATTAGCAATGCCCAGAAGGATTGGAAAAAAAAACGTCAAGCTTCAATTATTCTGCATACGCTAGCTGCAAACTTGTCCCAAACCTGCTTCCGTATGGAATCGTAAGCGCCTTCTTTTTTGAAGCTGTGTGCCAGAGACTCGATCGCCGCTCGTGTCGCGGACGGCAACGGCAGTTCGGAAGCCTTGAACTTCCGCGATGTCGCCTCCGCAGTCGATGTGCCCGCCATGCTTGTCTTCTCTGCGGACGTCGCCATTGTGCTGAATGTGCCTGCGCGTGGCGTGATGCGCGCGTCTCGTCTAGAGATGGAGAGTCGCTCTGCTCGAATCAAGACATGCCGCTAAATCGAAAAAGAAGAAAAAGCGAATCGCAGTGCCCAATCCAGCCTCGTAACCAAATCAAATCGGAGGGCATAACCTCGCTGGACACCGCCTATGCCATTTGCTCGGGGGAAGTTCCGTGTTGAAGGGCAGAAGTGGCAGTATCATCAGGTGAACGCCCGCTCACGTGACAGCAATCGGACGTTGGTATTCAGCGATTCAGCGCGGGAGCAAACGCATCATTCAATGGGCAAAGTGAGTGATTTTGCTCCCTTTTTATGGTTATTTTGTCTTTTTGATTGTGAAAACCTACAATTGGTTGAGTGTAATCTTGTTGTTGCATCGGGAACCTTATTTGCTGAGCCAATGCCGGTTATCTACGGAGTACATGTACCCTGCACTGCCTGGCGATATTTACCTTGGACTTATTCGCAGCCCTGGTATTAGTTATACAGGTGAAGAATTATAGATGGTTATTAGGGTTATGTTATGTACTCAAGTATTGATTGTATCTCACTATTGAGTCGACCTCTGTAACAGCGAATTCTTTGAAAGCGGGAGCTTAGACAAAACAACCATGGCCAAGAATGGAACCTCGTACTTGTCATTGTAATATATTCCTTTCATGCTATATAAACTACAGAGCAAAATCCTAAATCAGCCAACTAGATACCACTCAGTGCTCTGCTTTCTAATCGAAAAATGAACGGATAGTTTCAAGGCCATTCGTGCACGCAGATGAATAAAGGCATAGTCAGGTGTTGTCGTTCCATCATAAAAGTCGTTGTAGCGGGGATTTTCTTCTTCCTCCTTGTGCTGTCGTCCACAGGAGATATGTACTGATATCTCTCCCATCTTTTTCCCTTGCCCCCTTTGTTTCTCGCTGGTATACATGGTCCGTTTTGGGCCCTTTTCATTTCGTGTTCGTCTAAAACTCACCATCGCCACCGTGCCCAACCATGTTGGCCATCCAGAGACCAACCAGTCCCCACCACCCGATTCGCCATCCCCTCCAGAGACCTTCCATGCCCTGGCCCTTCTTGTAGGTTGGCAGGAGGTTCTTGGTCTTGACCTTGCCTCGCTTGCTTATTACGGGCTTGGGTGGGATCTCCCGAGTGCCTTCTTCGGTAACGATGTGGTACATGGTGCCGAAAGTGCCATTGTATTTGCCAATGGGTACAATGGTCTCCAATGCTGGTTCACCGTCATTGAGAGCCTCTAGGTACTCCGGTTCGGAAAGCACAGAGAGTTGGCCTCGGCGCAGTACAGTCTCCAGAGGGAGCTTGATCAAGATTCCCACCGACGAGGCGAAAAACTTGGCAGCGGAGAATGTCATGGGCGCAATTTCGCTTGTGAGCATAAACTTGGTCTTGAGCGCCAATGGGGTGGAGAGAGTGAAGATGGGGTTGACGAGAGAGTGAAGAATGGTGGGAACGACAATGGTGGAAGGGCAGTAGTAAGAAGGGAGGGCTCGAAGGCTTGCAATGGTTCTTCGTTGTCCCTTGAAGGGGTTGGTGAGGATTAACCTGTGACCATGTCAGTATGCTGAGAGTAAGCAGTCGGTCTGCGCAGCTGTATCACATACCTCGTGCGTACGAGATCTAGAGGCGCAAGTGCGAGGCTGGTTGTGACTGCGGCGGCGGCGGCCACGAACAAGGAAGCCCAGGGATATGGAGATGCAATGTCAACAAGACGCTCAATGTTGTCCTTGACACCCAAGTCTGGCACATTGAACACAGCACTCAGGAAGCTTCTTGACCAATTCTCCAACAGAGACTGCAGGACAGTGTACAGAAAGGTTGCATTTGCTCCTTTCCATACTCCCCATGCGCCGTCCCTTTGCCATAGCTGCCCAATGACGTCAAGAATAGCATCAGACCGACGAAGATTTAAAAAGTGCTCCGGCAAGACGGGCACCTTTTTCGGTGTCGTCGGGGACTGTAAAGGAGATTCTGCACGCCGGCTACTGGGTCGCTTCTCAGGCTGAGCCTGGCTTGGACCCCAGGGATTGGGTATGGCCGGATCGCTGGATGTGAAGTATGCCGGTTCCTCGCCATCAGATTCCTCCTGTTATTATTCTTCATTAGCTTAAAGAAGACGACAGCTAGAGAGAGTACCTTGGAAAGACGGCGCTTACATCAAATGCCGAGCCAGCTCGACTTGATACCTGAGGGGCGGGAGCAGGAGTTTCCGGCTCGGCAGCTACCATGAGGGCAGCCTTTTCATCCTGATCCCGAGCCTGCAGGATCATCTTGGCAACCTCGAAGGGCTGCCCGATCAAGACGGACATGTATTTCCATATCAACTCATCGACGAGCTCCCTGGCGCTTTCGACAACCGACGGAGAAGGCTCGCCAATCAACTCCTTGTAGTCGAGATCATTCAGCATGTGCTTGGCCTTGGAGGCGTATTTCGCACCACTGGCGACATCGTAGCTGTTGCCACCAGAAAACGGATTCGAGCTCGGGATCGCTACCGGTTCTGCCCGCTCCTCGATTGTGGGAGGCCGGTAATACGGCCGAAGGGGATTGACGGTGAATTCCTTGGGGGATGCCATGATTGATAAAAAAAGAGAGAGATTCCAGATCTCTGCCTTTTTTCTTCACAACCCAAGTTGGGCTCCTGTGGTTGATAAAAATGCAGTCATTGGCAAGCTGGGGGGTAGCTATGTACCTCCCCCGGTAGATGCATATCTTATCACGGCGGCCAATTCCCACCCAAGTGGAAGTCAGAAAAAGAGGAACGGCTAAATGAATAAGTGCATACATCTAGCAATATGAGCACCAATACCGCTCAGTCAATGGTGCTTTTGTAGGCGTATGATTCAACCCGAGCGTGTTCGAAATCTTCTCGGTCTCAGCTTTTCTGTCATCCGCTTGCCACCACAAACATCTTCGGAGATGCGAGGGCTCTAGCGAACGAGAGTCGCTTTATTAACGAGCATGTCCGGCGCTGGTCTTTTGTGATTCTCTCGGCTATTAAAGTGCTACGGCCTTGTCTCTGGGCGCTGGCGATCATCCGACCCAGGCCAATCTCAGCTTGCGACGCTCTTGCACCGGCGTTTCTTCCTTGATCCCAAATTTTTTTCTCGCTGCAACCGAGTTCCGATCAAGCGCTCCACATGTCGGCCTCAAGATCGCTCTCACGAAGCCTTGCGAGGCTGTCGCAAGCGGGATGCCGTCGAGCTCCCTCCACGAGCGCGCCGTATAGAGGCTTGACCGCCTTACCGGGCCCTTTCCTCCGATCCGCACCTACATCGCGAGCTCTTCAATCTCTCCAATTGTCCCCGAGTCGTCGCGCATTCTCTACAACACCCCAGCGGCGGCATGGCCATGTCACCCCACCAAAGCCCGGTGAAGAGTGAGCAGCGATGCAATTCTATACACACAGGGAAAAAAAGAAATCTTGGCTAATATTCTTGTAGGCTCTGGGTCACATTCATCGATAAAGAAGGCGAGGAGCACAAATTCGCCGTTTCGGCGGGCGACAACCTGCTCGACATTGCCCAGGCCAACGACCTGGAGATGGAAGGTGCCTGCGGAGGATCATGCGCATGCTCGACTTGCCATGTCATCGTAGAGGGAGAAGACCACTTTGACAAGATGCCTGAGCCCGAAGATGACGAGAACGATATGCTGGACCTCGCTTTTGGCCTGACCGAGACCAGCCGTCTGGGCTGCCAGGTTATCATGACCAAAGAGCTGGACGGCCTGGTGGTGAGGCTGCCTTCTATGACGAGAAACATGCAAGCGAGCGACTTTCAATGATTGGGCGGGAGTCGCCTGATGTGAATACGATACGGCATACTACCACAGAAGAATTGGAAACCATGTATACTATTGAACAAAATAGAAGCGGCGGAATGGGTCGGCGAGCCTCGGGGTTGGGCGCAAGCATTTTGCCCAAGGGGGGGTATCTTTGGGGTAAAATTTTGTATACCTAGTGATGAGTACTGTAGATCTGAAGACAGGCCGAACTTCGCTCCCTGTAGAGATACATATTGAAAACAAAACAAAAAATTTACAAAGAAAGACAAGACACAACCCTTACGCCTCTTCCAACGGAGTCTTTTTCAAGCCTCCTCCTCCCGATGCAATCAAGTCCAAAAAGCCCTTCTTACTCATCTCATTGACCTTTTCCTCCCTCGTCTTGTGGCCGATGACGCCCTCCTTTCTCACTGCCCTCTCCGCCTCAGCAGCCTGTACCTGAGAAGCCCTGACGGCATTGAACATGCGAATCACACCTCTTTGCGCCGTCTTGCGAAGCGTCTTTTCAATCGCCAACATTTCTGAAGTCGTCATCTCCGGCTCACCCGACTCGTCCACCGTCGCCACCAGAATGTCCTTGATGCGGCCCTTTTCCAGCGCGACTCTCTTCTGCTCCTTGAGCTTCCTCCTGGCCTTTGCCTCGAGCGCAACATCCACGGCGACCTTGGAGGCCTCGTGGGCGGCTGCGCTCCGAGACAGGACGGGGTCGGATCGTTTTGACGCGGACAGCTTGGTCGATAGAATCTTTGAAAGCGAGGTTGCGAAAGCAGTGGGGTCGTTGCGTTTTGACTTTGTCTTTGCTGCGCCCACGTCGAGGTCCATGTCGTCGTCGTCGTCATCGTCATCGTCATCCTCCTCGCTCTGCTCCTCTGCTTCGTCGTCGTCCTCCTGCTGCTCTTCAGCTTCCGGCTCTGGCTGTTTTGACTTTGACTTTGCCGTCTTGGCATTGGTCTTTTTTACAACGGGCGCCTCCTCGTCGGAGCTTGAGGAATCGTTCTCTCCAGCGTCGGCGACATCGTCCGCGGGCGCATTGTGAATATCGTCGTCGGAATCCAGCAGGTTGACCGCGTCAAAGGTCTGCTGCTCCTCTTCGTTGTCCGAGTCGCTGTGGTACGCTTGTGCTTTTCGCTGCTTCTTGGTCGGGCGATGTGACTTGTTGTCGTTGCGCCGTTTTTTATTATGTAGTCCAGCCATTGTGTTGAATTGTCTGTTCCAGATATGCCAACAAGTAAGTGTGATGATTGTCGTCTCTGGACTTTTTTCTGAAAAATCAAAAGGCCTGGGATAATTTTGCCCGGTCCAACTTTTTTTCTTTGGAGCAACGGTTCGCATTGGGGAAGGCGGTGAAAGTGCCCCGCTGAGAAGCTCTCAGTGTGAACTAGAGGTACGTTCCCCCCGAACTCCGGATGACTACGCAAAATGTCTCCAAGCCCCCCGAGCCTTTTAACCCTACAGGATTCCCAAGGCTCACTACGAAGTACTAGCAAAAGGAGAGTCTCACGATGAAGCGTATTTAACAGACACACACGGCGCGCTTCTACGGAATCAGAGACAACCACGCAACTGTAGGCCGTCGAATTCCTTTCCAATCTATCTTCCCTTTTGTCTCACCTCAACGAAGCTCCGGACGGGATCGGCTTTTTGCGGGGCAGAGCCGGTGCCAGTCGGACGTCATCAAGCTTCAGCCCAATTCGTTGGATTATTGAAATCGCCAGTCCAGAGTGCTTCATAAAGGGCCGCTTCATAGGCAGCTGTGTCTTGTTCAGCCGGCAGAGCTTGGCTGAGCCTTGTGAGAGAACTGCAGAGCATTTGCGTATCAGTCGTCAGCTCCCCGTTCAGGAGACAACCCAGCCTTCATCTCAAAAGACATGTTTGGCCAGTACACGCTCGACACCAGCCCGGGAGATGGCACCTACCGGGTACCAAAGCTCAACCATAAGAAATCGCGATATGGCTGCCAGCGATGTCGCACGCGGCGGGTAAAGTGCAACGAGGCAAAGCCCACTTGCCAGCACTGCGAGCGCCACAGAGCCAAATGCATCTACGATCGCCTCCCACAGAAGAAGACCAGCCAAGACCGATCTCCGGGTTCCTCATCACAGCCTCAGCCTAGTGAATCCGGCATCTCAGAGACCAGCTCTGACAAAACCTCTCCCCTGTCGTCGGTGGATCCGCTGGACGAAGACGCCTTGGAATCGAAGCAGCGACGGCTATTGGAGGCGAGGCTGATGCACCTCTATCTCACCGAGACTGGGCGCTCGCTGCCGATTGACGAAAAGACTTACGAGGTATTCGCCAATTTGGCTCCCAAGATGGCGTTGGACTCTGAAGCCTTGCTATATGCCATATATGCTCTGGCAGCCATCCACTCGCTCATATGCAAGATAGACGACTCCTTTGATGGGCTCAATGTACATAGACGATACCTGGCAATGGCCCTGCATGAGCACCAAAGGGAAATCACCGAGCTCAGCGAGTCCAACTTTGAAGCCGTGTCTCTCACGTCGCATTTGCTGCGCATCTGCACGTTTGCTACGCTGCGGTACCGAAATCGCGAGCCATACACTCCTCCTCTCGAGTGGATATTGATCACAGGGACGACGCAAGCCCTCTTTACCAAGGCTTGGGGCATCATTTTGGCGCATCCGGAGTCGTTCGTGTCGGCGATGACGCGGAGCACGCCCATCCTTTACGATACCCAGGCGAGGTACGACCCAGCGAACCGGCAGGGCTTGGAGTACATCCTTGAAAGGAACGCCAAAGATGTAGTGTCGGAGCCGTGGGACATGGAGATCCAGGACGCATACGAGACGACGCTCAGCTACATCGGAGGGGTCTTGTTATTGCTGCATCCGAAAGACGGCAATATCCAGCTTGACGAGGCGAGGCGAAGAATGATCATCTTCCCCATGGTCGTGAAGAAGAAGTTTCTCAACCTTACCCAGCAAGTGTGTCCGAGAGCCCTGGTGATTCTGGCATATTATTTCTCGATCCTGGTCATTGAAAACCTGTGGTGGGTTGGCGACGTGGGGAAGCAGGAAGTGCAGGACATTTCAAAGAACTTGCCGGCCAGGTGGCAGAAGATGCTGGAGTGGCCGTTGCGCGTGGTAGAGCGAGGAGCAATTCTGCCGATATCTCAAGAGAGCCAGGCGTTAATAGGAAACAATTTGGTGGTCGGAAATCGAGAATAGCGCCTGATCTCTACCTTGCATGTTACCACGTGTGTAGGATGAGGGTGTAGATGGTGGATTTTGCTACATATAAGTAAATACGAGTACCGAGTCACCCCATACTGCCAAGGTATGGCCATTTGCCCTGCATGTGTCCAAACCGGATCCATCCGTCTCTTACACGCATATGCGTATTACATACTCTGTAGTATTAGACATTACACGGCATCAACGTGCTTCTTCGTTCTCGGGTCCGGAGACTTGCATCTGCAGGGCGACATGTCGTTCTCGCTCTTCTACATCAGGCTAAGCGCATGTCTCTTTTGAGCTTCGCTTTCGCTCCGCCAGTAGCGTCATCACCACACCAGCGACTCTCACTCACTACGTAGTAAATGGGGTTTGTAACATGATGCAAAGTAATTCCAAGTGTTTGTATTGCGAAATGGATGTACTTGCATGTAAAACTATACGCGGCATCGGGCGAAGCTGCGGAGAAGCTAGTCTTCGGATTCGCTTCGAACGCGAGATGCTCGGAAAAGGCATCTCAGGCTGGAAAAGGCATCTCGGGATATTGGGAAGAATGTGCGATGGGCATTAAGAAATGGCATCACACAAGATGTTCAGTTTCTATATAAACGTTGGATTTCTTGTATCATCATCACGTTTCTTCATCGGATATCCAGTATATCAAACTTGAGTCGAGAAACATCTGTCAAGCATCCATCACTTACATCAACTTATAATAACATCCCCATACTGTCTAATCAGACACCCTGCTTCAACACCACATACTCCCAAACCTTGCTTTACATCAAAACATACATCGTCAAAATGTCAGAGGAAAACAATCAAGGTTCGCCAATGATCAAGCTAAGCACCGACCAAAGCTTCCACTTCGAAATCCTCCGCGCCGTCTCCATCGCCCCCTACCAAGGCGCCGACCTTGGCGAGGTTCTCACAGCCGCCGCCAAGATCAAGCCCGGCGACTTTGAGAGCTACTACACTGCCTTCCACGACCTTGCCGTTCGTGTACACAATCAAGCCGACAAGATCGACGTGGCCAAGTATCCCGTTTCAGCGAGGTCGGCGTTCTTTAGAGAAGCTACGTATCTTCGCACCTCTGAGTTCTTCCTCCACGGAAACTGGGAGGACCCGCGCATCAACTCGGTTTGGAAGAGGCACAGGGCGGCCTTTGATAAGGCTATTGCGCTTCTTCCTGTTCCTGGGCAGAGGGTGACGCTCAAGGCTGACGGGTTCGACGTGCCGGCCATCTTCTATGGTTGTGGGCAACCCGGCCGCCGTGCAACTATTCTCATGTGCAGCGGCTATGACGGTTCTCAGGAGGAGCTGTACCATGTTGCTGTCGAGGCTGCTCTCGCTCGAGGCATCAATGTCATAACGTACGAAGGACCAGGTCAACCCACTGTCCGCCGAGACCAGAACCTGGGCTTCATCCACGACTGGGAAAGAGTCGTGTCCCCAGTCGTCGACTACGCCCTGACGAGGGATGATGTAGACTCTGACGCCATTGGTCTTTGGGGCTACTCTCTAGGCGGATATCTCGCCATTCGTGCTGCGGCCTTTGAGCCACGCATCGCCGCCGCCATGGCCATCGACGGCGTCAGCGACTTTGGCGAGGCGATTCTCCAAAAGTTCCCCCCCGAACTGCTCAACCTTTACAAGGCCGGAAACAAAGAGGCCGTTGACCAGGCCGTAGTGTCTGCCGTGTCGAATCCCGAGGCGCCGACTTCTTTCCGCTGGGCCATCGAGCAGGGCCTATGGGCGTTCAACACCAAGTCGCCATATGAGTGGGCGACAAAGTGCATGGATTATAAGCTGGGTGATGCGATTCACAACATCAAAGTCCCGTTCTTCGTGGCTGATGCGGAGAATGACGATTTGTTGCCTGGGCAGGCAAAGATTGTTGCCGAAACGGTGGGAGAGCGGGCGACGTATCATTTGTTCACTGCTGAGGATGGAGCGGGTGAGCATTGCTCTATTGGCGCGGCTGTGCTCCAGAACCAGGTTGTGTTTGACTGGTTCCAAGAGGCGGTGTCTGGAAGCAAGGCTTGAAGATGTGATGATGTGAGGATACTCGATTTGAGATGTTCACGAGAGTTAGCAAGCAGGCATTGTGTAAACAAAGTCAGAGTAGCACATAGCGAGCGATATGCTTGAAAGATTTGTTTCCATACATGATAATTCAACTCAATTTTCATCACCATGTTGTTGCCGCATATGAACATGGGCCTTGCTGCGTCCTTGCTACGTCCTAAACCAATTGACCAGACAAGTCATCCATCCACGGCTTTCCATCATACAAATTCCAAAAATAATAAATGACCTCAGAATCATCCCCATCAGCTGACAAGTGACATACAAAATCTCCCCAGACAGACGCCAAGCAAACTCCAAGGTCTTATTCCGTTATGCAACGGGGCTACCAGCCCCTGATCCTATCCCAAAAAGAACCCGAAGAAGCCTTCTTCTCCTCTTCAGGGGGAACTGGCGGTGCTGTAATGGTCGTGTTCCATTCCTCCTCGCCACTGATGAAAAGCCGATAGAGAAGCTTGCTCTCACCGTCTTCCTCTTCGATGGTGAATGAGCCAAACTTTGACATGCCAGAGTGGTGATATCTTTGATTGCTGTCAGAAAGATTCTCTGATGATGGGGGGTGATTAGGTTAGCCAAACTTACTGGATCAAAACATCCTCATCATCCACCTGCGTATATGAAGGGATCGGTGACGCAAACTGATTGAGCGGACTTGTGGAAAACTCATAGACGGTAGACTCTTCCGACCAGTCGGATTCTGGAGGAGGCGGGAACTTTGTTGCAGCGAATTCGTGCCTATCTCCGGACAAGACCACGACTCCAACTCCGCGGGCAGACACATCCCACATGGCTTCGAGAATCTTCTTTCTTTCAACCAAGAAGCCGCCCCAGGTGTCCTTGACGTTCACGGGCCAGTTCTTGGTGAAGGGAATGGACGATGCCACAAACTTCCACCTGACGCCCTTGGGCTCCGGTCGTCCTAACCAGGCCAAAAAGTCGGCCAACTGATCGGCACCCAGCATTGTCTTGTCCGTCTCATTAAACGGCAGCTTGTTGCTGGACCTGTAACTGCGAGTGTCAAGCATGAAGAAGCTCGCAGGGCCCTGCACAAATTCAAACCATGTAGCACCCTTGCGACGCTCGCTCTTAGTGCCGGCAGTCACAGCACGGGGAGGGTTGATTTGAGCCTGGTAAATGTGCCAAGGGTCTACAGCATTCTGGTAAACCCCGGTAGTGTTTGCATCCCAGTCCTATGTGCCCTCGTAGTTAGCCAAGAGGAAAAGAGACTAATCAGCGCGAATTGGTAGAGGGGGTGATTACATTTGCAATCTCATGATCATCCAAGACATGAATCCAGCTCAAATTCTGGCCGACAGCGGCCCAATCCTCAGAAGCATACACTTGCCGGTACTGCATACGGTACTCATCGACCGACTTGCCAAAGCGCTCGGGAACATCAACATAGATGAAATCGCCTAGGAATAGCATAAACTGCGCGCTCAGCTCGGGAAGTCGTTTGGCAAGATTTCGCAATCCTGGAATGGCAAGCGGATGATCCAAAGGCGAGTAGGGGAAGCGCGGTAAGATGCACGAGGTAGACAAGAAGGTATATTTCCCTCCATTCTGACTGGGCATCTTGCCGGGTTGCGGCGCAGCAGTAAGCTCACCCGAGTGGTTGTTTGAGGTCCGCCACTCATACTTTTGCTGCTCTGCATAGCTCAGGAGCGGAATGGTGAGCACGCTGGTAAAGTCTGTCTCATTGGAGGTGCTCTTGACGCTGCCGACGGATTGCCAAATGAGACCGTTGTAGTTTCGGATCTGAAAAGTGACGGGCATATTGGCCTGGTCAGGCTCTCGGATGAGAAAGTTGGCCTCTTTGTGAGAGACGTATCCAAGTCGCACAAAGGACAAGTCGTTGGCTGGATAGTACCACCGGGCGCGATACAAGGCGTCGGCAGTAAGACCGACGAACGCCAGGTTGATGAGAAAACTTAACAAGGAGCTGAAGGGGCGCTTTGAGCTGGGAGCACCGTAAAAGATAATTTTCCAGGCCGGTACATCTTTTCCAGCATATGAAATCGTTTCCTGAACGTCGACCTCTTCTGCGACAAGCTCTTGGTCTGTATCATCATCCGGCGTGACTACGGTTTCCTTGACAGTGATATCGACTTGATCCTCGACGATTTCAAGTTCAGGCGAAGAGAATAAGCTTGTCAAGAAAGCTGGGATATATATGGCAAAGAGGGTGAAGATGATAGACGGTAGTCGAGCCTAAGCGTGGTTAGGCAGGCATGTTTACTTACGTTCACGATCACCCAATGAACCAGTGGCGATACTTACAGGAAACTAGATTGGGCGTCAGTTGAGCATCAAAAAATAACACATTACGCGCACCTGGCGAGAGGCGAGAGAGCATCACGTACAGCACGGAAAAAGAGAACAGCTCCTATCCTGATGGCGACCGAAGACGCATTTGCGATGGTTCTTTGGATGGCCATCTTGAGCGGGATGCCACTGCCGCCCCCGCAGAGTCAGACGGCCGGGCGCTCACTTGGAGGGGAAAGCAGGTCACTTTCAAAGGGTAACTTTTAAGCGGTAACCAGAGCCAAGGAGGGGCTTGAAGAGAAGCGAAGCAAAGCAAAGCAAAGCAAAGCAGGGAGATGAAGCTGGAAAAACGACTCCAATCACCGCATGGCGATATCGCGAAGATGAAGAAACGAGAATGTACAATCGACGTCACCTCCAATAAGAACAGTGGAGGAATAACAACACGGGAAGCACGCCAATAATATAGCGGTGTCTCAGGCTGTGGCTCAAGCGGTACGTACATGTACATATCCATTCGAAACGCTGCTAAGGCGCTGTCCCGCCATTGCAGGCGATCCAACGCTGAGGCTAGTGGGATAGGCATCAATGCAGCGGCCCTAGTGGGCAGTAGGCAGGAGGCATCAGGGGACGGCAGCTGCGAAATTCCGTTGCCGAGAGTACTGCAACTGTACCTATGTAACTGTAACTGTGGCTGGTGGCGGGCAGAGGGTGGCTGGTGCATTGGTGCACTTGTTCCATTGGCCTTTTGGTGGCGTATGTATCTGCCATGTGTGTCGTGTCCCATTCAAGCATCCCTGAAACCAGTCCGTCCTCGACATCGTCGACCTGCACAACGACAAGATGAGATTGCCGACGCTGGTAGCTGGCCTGATTGGCCTCATGGCCACCAATGTTGCCGCTACAGCATTGACCTACAAGCTGACCGCCAACGAAAAGGCCTGTTTCTATGCCTCCACCAAGAACGAAAACGAGAAGATTGCCTTTTACTTTGCTGTTAGTGCCGCCGCATTGCATCAGGGCCCTACCCGTTCTGCGCACATACTAACTTCCGAGGCGCATTAGGTTCAATCCGGCGGTTCGTTCGATGTCGATTACATTGTCGAGGGACCCGGCGGAAAGATCATCCTCCAGGGCGAAAAGGAGCGACAGGGCGACTTTGTCTTCACCGCGCAGCAGGTTGGCGACTACTCGTTCTGCTTCGACAACGAGATGAGCACATTTTCCGAGAAATTTGTCGACTTCGAAATTGCTGTCAGTAGCGAATGGGGGAATTGCAGACAGGGGCGTCGTAGCTAACCACACCGATCCAGGTCGAAAACGAGTCTCGAACCGCCCAGCTCCCCTCCAAGCAGGGTTCATCACCGGAACAGACATCCGTCCTGGAGGAATCCATCTACAAGATCTCTGGCCAGCTTTCCACCATTTCCCGAAACCAAAAGTACTTTAGGACGCGAGAGAACCGCAACTTCAGCACCGTGTCCAGCACAGAGCAACGCATTGTCAACTTTAGTATGATCCAGATTGCTCTGATTGTCTGCATGGGAGCACTGCAAGTGTTTGTTGTCCGGTTCTTCTTCCAGGGTGCTCGCAAGGGTTACGTTTAAGCGAATGATATTCTTTATTATGCAACTGTGCGGAAGGGTGGTCTCGACGGAAAGCAACTAGCTACAAGTTGACATGAGGACGGATGGTATGGATGGATATCAGTTTCTTTGTGCAGGGATAGGTCGGCCAGCGTGGCCAGAAGTCACGGCGATGGGCGTGTTTTGTAGCCTGAAGATGGCTGGTGAAGAGCGTCATGGGAAATACCTTGGCAAGCTAATGAAAATGGAGGCGCTGTTTAAAAGAAGAATACAATTACAGATCCAATCTCATCGTTTCTATAAGCTCGTGATTCTGCTCGTATGTATGTACATACTGACGGCCAGCTTAGTACGGACAGCTGCGTCTTTGGTGGCAGGGGAATCATTATTCCGAGGCTTCTCCGTCTCAAGCCACTACTTTAACCTGCACAATCCCTGCACTCAGCCACACCTGCACCGCCATACTTTGAATTTCTCGACCCAGAAGCTGGCATCGCAACTCACAGGCTTCAACATCATCTCACGCGACGCCCAAAATGACGTCCATGGCCGCATCGCTGCAGGCGTCGCTCCCCAAGCCGAAATACACCGGCGGGGATGAGGAGGCGCCGTCCCGGACGCAGAAGCGCGGCCCTCGCATCGTAGGGCCCGGCCAGCTGGACGAGACGCAAATCGTCCTCAAGCGAAGCGGACCTCCCCCATACGGCCAGCGAGCGGGATGGCGACCTCGCTCGCAGGAGGATTTCGGCGATGGCGGTGCGTTCCCCGAAATCCCGATTGCCCAGTACCCTCTGGACATGGGCAAGAAGGGTGCGAAGACGAGCAATGCCTTGGCGCTCCAAGTCGATGCCGAGGGCAAGGTCAAATACGACGCGATTGCGAGACAGGGTCACGGCGAGGGACGAATCATTCACACATCTTTCAAGGATCTGATCCCGCTGAGGCAGCGAGCCGACGCTGGAGAGATTGATCTGTCGCGTCCGGACAAGGAGTCTGTGGAGGCGACGACGGAGAGGACCAAGAACGCGTTGGCAGCCCTCGTCAGCGGAGCGGTGGCGGCACAGAAGCCAAAGAACCTCAACATTGGACAGCGAAAAGACCCGACATTTGTGCGATATACGCCGGCGAACCAGATGGGAGACAACTCCAAGAAGCAGGATCGCATCATGAAGATTGTAGAGCGGCAGCGAGATCCGATGGAGCCTCCGAAATTCAAGCACAAGAAAATCCCCCGCGGTCCTCCGTCACCTCCTCCTCCCGTTATGCACTCCCCCCCACGAAAGCTTACAGCCGAAGATCAAGAGATGTGGAGGATCCCGCCTCCGGTATCGAATTGGAAGAACCCCAAAGGCTTCACGGTGCCCCTGGACAAGCGTTTGGCCGCAGACGGACGAGGCTTACAGGATATTACGATTAATGATAAGCACGCGCAGTTTGCAGAGGCCATCAAGATGGCAGAGCGCCATGCCCGAGACGAAGTCCAGCAGAGAGCCCTGATGCAGCAGAGGCTAGCGGAGAAGGAGAAGGCTCAGAAGGAAGAAAACCTGCGATCTCTAGCCCAAAAGGCGCGCGAGGATCGAGCCGCCGCTGGGCAACGCGGAAGAAGGGGCTCGAGGGATTCGCGGGACTCGCGAGAGTCGGGATCAAGATCACCATCACGGTCAAGCTACAGCGGCTCAGAGTCCAGGGGCGGCTCTGATAGCGAAGATTCAGAGGTTCGGGCTCGAGAAAGGGCACGAAGGGAGAAGCGAAAGGAAGACGAGCGCAAGTTGCGGCAGACACGAATGGGCGCAGAGCGACGTATCCAAGTCATGGCGCGAGAACAAAATCGAGACATATCCGAGAAGATTGCTCTAGGCATAGCCAAGCCTTCACAGTCCAAGGAAACCATGTACGACTCCCGACTATTCAACCAGTCCAGCGGGTTCGATAGCGGATTCAACGAAGACAACCCCTACGACAAGCCCCTCTTTGCTGCTCAGGATGCCATTAACAGCATCTACCGGCCGCGAGCAAACCTGGACGATGAGGATGCAGAAGCGGGCGATAAGGAGATGGCCAAGATCCAGAAATCAAGTCGATTCGGCGAAGCACTGGGCAAAGGTACCTTTAAGGGAGCCAGCGAAGCAGAGGTCAGTTTTCTCGGACACACTCCCCCTCCTTCCACTCTTGTCGTTCTTGTAACATTGCTAACTGATTGGAAATAGGCACGAGAAGGACCCGTGCAGTTCGAGAAGGATGCGGTAGATCCCTTTAACGTGGACAAGTTCTTATCCGAGGTGGACCAGAACTCGTCCTCCAAGAGAGGATATGGACTGCAGGACGAGGATCGGAAGGCGAAGAAGGCTCGCGTGGAGGAAGATGACGATTAAAGCGTACATGTACTATTTTTTTTTAGAGATGCATTATCATGTCCAATACTAATGAGATGATGGCAGTATCGCGTTTGCTGCTTGGGTATTCAGCGGTCAATATCTTTTTTTTTTTTTCTTTTGGTTTTGTCGGTGTCATAGTCCACTGTGCTTGCGGTCAAAGGTATATGGAAAGGACAAATAAGAAGACCATTGGTTGACATGGCAATTTTGATGTCCATCGGAAAAGAACAACGGCGTTGGTGTTTGTTCATATAATCTGCAGCTCCGTTTAACGCATCAAGACATGACATGTGAAGAACGAAGCTGTCCCACATCACACCATCAGAATACCGAGCCCACTCACACTTCGTATCTAGCACACCTCTGCTTTTGGCTTTTGCACTGCCACCCCGTTCTTTAGCTGTATCTCCTTTTTTCTTCATCTCCCTTTTAACCAAGAACCAAACGGTAAGCATTCTGCCGGGGAGGAGCAAGAGAAGAATGCTGTATGTAGTCATGGCGGCGCTTTTGGTTCTTTTATGGCAGCTGTCAGTCATCCTGTCAGTACCTTGGAATACGAGACAGCACCATAAATAGCTACTACCTATACCTTCGAACACTAGAGTTTCAATGACGCGTCACTGTTACAGGCTGTGTCGATCCAGGTCCCCAGTTTTCGCTTCTAATCCGCTTTTTGAACGATTTCCGGTTGCAGGTTTGCATTTCTTCGGCTGGCTTGTTTAGGCAGAGGTCAGCCAGGGCAAGATGTTGGGCGCTACGCGGGTGCTGAATCTGGCGACTCGATACGGGCACGTTTTTTTCCTCGGACGGGCGACGGGGAAGCGGCATTCGAACCAACCCCGGGAGCCATTGGAATGAATCGTTGGCTGTGCCGCAGTATCCGGCGGTTGTGTGTACGAGAGTAAGATGGGCAATGTGACGGTACTATAGATGCACCAAACAGAAGATGTACCTGGATGTACCTCCATGTGAGCGAGCAGGAGATCATGTAAGGCAAGGTATGAGGTCAATCCACCTTTTTTGTGTTTATTTTTTTATTTTTATTTTTCTTCTTCTTACTTCTGACACTGCACCTCGTATCCGTGTTTGCTGGAGCATTGAGCTTCCCTTCTTCCAACCTCCAAACTGCCAGTGTCGCTCGTTTCTCTCTCTCTCTCTCTCTCTCTCTCTCTTCTTTTAACCTGCGTTATCTCCAGCGTGGGTACGATACGCATTTATACGCTCGTTGGGACTTTGCTTGTTCCCAAAGTGGTTATCGCCGGTGATATTAACCGCCCACACTCATTGGCTGGGATTGGCATCCTTTGATTGATTCCAATCGCTAGTTGGTTCGCTGATTTGATTTGATTTGATTTGATTTTAATTACTCGATTGCACGCCTTTTGACAAAGCTACAAGCGAGAAGCATATCTGCGCCCTGTTTCTCTCGTCTTTCGTCTCTGCGATCAAAGCGAAAATCTCATCTTTCAGGCACCAAAATGGATCGAGGCGTAAAGCCGGGCGAGATCCCTCCCAGATACGAAGAGTTCCAAGTTGGTTCTGGCGGTGGCTATCAAAAATCCGGCTCCTCCGCCTCTGCGTGGGATCCGAGATACTGGTCCAAGAAAGTATGGATCGGCATCGTTGCTGTCATTGTCATCGCCATTGTCATTGGCGTGGCTGTTGGCGTCACACAAGGGAAGAAGAGCAGCTCATATCCCGACTATTCCCAGCTCACCTATACCCTAAAGGATACATGTGAGTTTACCTTGTCTCAACACCATGTCCTATTGGAGAATGATGCTAACCACTGCCTCCGCGCGAATAATTAGTCCAGGGAGAATCCTTCTTTGACAACTTCAACTACTTTACAGGATATGACCCTGCCCAGGGTTTTGTGCACTACGTTCCAGAGCCTCAAGCTAAGCAGCTGGTAAGTAGTAGCATCTTTCATGCCATCAGCCACAATACTTTAGAGGCAAGGGATGTAGTTAACATACTGGTAGAACCTGACTTTTGCATCCCAAGATGCTGCCGTCCTCAGAGTCGACACCTCTGTCGGCCCGGGCAGCAACCCCGATGCTTCTACGGGCCGCTTCTCTGTGCGAGTAGAATCCAAAAACACCTACAACAACGGCCTATTCATCTTTGACGTCCGTCACACTCCGTTTGGTTGCGGCACCTGGCCCGCTCTCTGGCTCACTGATCCATCCAACTGGCCCAAGAACGGCGAGATCGATGTCATGGAGGCAACGAACAAGGCCGCCGACGGAAACCAGATGACGCTTCACACCTCCAGCGGCTGCTCCATGGGCGTGACGAGGAAGCAGACGGACAAGGCCCTTCAGACCAACTGCGACGCCACCAAGAACGGCAATGCGGGCTGCGGCGTCCAGGGAGCGGACAGCACCTTTGGCTCGGATTACAACAAGAATGGAGGCGGCATCATGGCCATGGAGTGGCGGGATGCGGGCATCCGCGTGTGGCAGTTTGCTCGCAGAGCCATTCCCTCCGACATCACGAGCCAGAAGCCCGATCCGAGCACTTGGGGTGAGGCTGCGGCTGACTTTCCGAGCACGGACTGCAATGTTGGCAATCACTTTAGGAATAACTCGATTATCCTGAACATTGATCTCTGCGGTGATCTGGTGTATGGAGTTTGGGACAATTCTGGCTGTAAGTGCTCTCTTTCTACCTAGCATGTTCTACAATCTTTGAAACATTGGCCAAGGTACTAACAGTCTTGATTCATGTAGGCTCCAGCAACTGCACCGACATTGTTGCAAACCAACCCCAGTCCTTCACGGATGCGTACTGGGAAGTTGGCAAGTTCCAAGTTTACCAGTCTTCGTAAGACTGAGCATTGGCGTTTTCGTTTAATGAGGCATGGTCATGAATCATCGGGGTTAATACGTAGGGAACTGAGAGGGATATATATTGGGCTTATATAGTAATAAAATACGTGGTACGGGGTGTTGAGATGTACATGGCTCTTGGCATGTCCAGGGAAGGGGAAACCTGTGAGGCTATTCAATAATGAGTTTCTCATAATATACATAATCTGCCTCTATAGAAGCCTGGGTATTGTTATACACATCCAGATCTCCCAGTTAAATCAGTAACACGCTACCATCTCTTGTTCTCTCTCAATCAAAAGGCCACACCCAAAGTGGAGAGATGCCATGTGTCAATTCCGCCAACGCCAACCCATATGCTCTATATGTACACTCTACCGGAACTCCTCAGCCCGTAATTACCACCAGTCAAAAGCACGTATCCCCAAAATCCTTCATATCATCATACAAGCCCCTTTTCCTTCTTCGACAACCGTAGAGACAGTAACTGCTCTACTCGTCACTCGGCTGGCGCATGTACGCATCAATGGCCGCACTAAACGCCGCAAAGGCAACGCAGCCTCCCGCAACGGCCTGCGGGCCCGCGTTCTTGGCCAGGATGCCTCCCGTCAGGCATCCAGCCGCCATGCCGTTGACCAGGTCGTTCTTCGCCCGCATGCCCTCGATGCCGCACTCGATGCCGGAAAACAGGGCGCCGACCTTGCCGAAGTTCTTGGCCATGCTCCAGGACCGGGTGCCCATGTCCTTGAAGCCGATCTTGAGCTGCTGGCGGAGGGGGAGCGACGTGATGGCGGGTTGACCGTTGGCGCCTTGGAGGGGGCTGCCGAAGGGGGTATCGTACGACATCTGGAGAGTAAAGTAAGACATGTTGGCAAAATGGACGGGAGGGTTGGCCTTGATAGCAGGTTAGAGGAAACGTACAGAGGCCATGAAGAGGCCAAAGAGTCCGCCCATGCCGAAGCCCATGACGCCTGACATGATGGACTTGCCATAGCATGATTCCATTGCGCCTTGGATCTAGATCAGAGAAAGGTTAGTGCATTGTTTGTGCGATGTTGCTGCCGAGCTTCGTTGGCGCGCAAAAAGAGAAGAGAGGAAGAGGAAGATTTACAGCTCTGACGTTGGGATCTTGGCCGCCCAGCTGCGGAAGAGGCGTGTTGCCCCCGCTAAAAGGAGATGGGATGCTCATGATGGAAGAAGAAAAGAAAAATAGCTTCGGAAATTGACCAAAGTGAGGAATTGGCCGGTATGGCGATGATGCCGTCACTATGCGAGTAAATGGGGATTTGTTTGAATCGCCCAGCTACGGACCTTGAAGATTAACGAGAGGAATTATTTCTGCCGGGCTTGACCGCCTTGGTGGGTTGGCGGATTCTGATTGTCCCCCCGCGGCGGGGCTTTTCGGTACGGCCGGCCGGAGCGGAGCGGGAGAGTTGCGGGAGTGTCGAAGGGGTGTGTAACAGAGGGAAGAATTGGTGATGATATTCGAGTATTTCAACCGATAAGGGTTAGATAATGTCGGAATATTGGATCATATATAATTGTTATTTTAGGAAACAGATGATGTAGGCTTAGACTCGCAGTATTAGTAGAGCTCTTTCGTATATTTCCTCTAGCTTCGTCTATTTGTCAAGGTATCGAATCAATCCCATCATTAACAATGCATGTATCTTACAGGCCTTTAAAAATCATCAAACCACATAAACATGACCAAATTGCCCTCATTCATCACACACCGCAGCCACGGCCTTGTTAATCCACAGCTGGTTCTTGTCCTCCTCAATATACGCAGTCGCCAGCTGCTTCAGCTCCTCCATCTTGGTGTAATCCGCCAGCCCAATCTCGCTCTTCCCAAGCGACGGGTTCAATCTAACATATCTCGTCTGCGAATGTTCAGACCGGTTGTTCAACGCCGTCATGTGTCGTGAAAAATCCTTGCCCTTTGCGTTTGTATTGGTAGCAAAGCCCATGACTGAAGATGCCACTCCCGCGAGCTGGAACCAGGACTCTGATGGTGAATCGGGTTTGATGTAGCCGGTACCCAGGCTGATGACGCACGACACGGCGGGAGCAGGCTCGTTTGGCTGGACGAGCTCGTATCTTGAGTACCACAGCTGGTCGATGGGGTTGTTGTTGAGGAGGCCGCCGTCCCAGAAGGTCAGCTGGGGATTGTTTTCGGGCCACTTCACTTCGGGGAAGTATGTTGGTGCCGCAGAGGTTGCGCGCGTGGCTAGGCTGATGGTGATTTTGTCTGAGTGGTCTCGCATGACATCGTTGACTTTGGATTGGACGTGGATGGTGTTGTCCTTGTATGATCTCAACAAGACTGTTTCAGCTCTGTTTTGCGCTGTTGTGCAGACAAACCTAGTTCAGGCACCGAATTAGTAAACATGATTCCTGTACACAAGAGTGAGGCAAAAAGAGACAAGATCTAGATACTTACATCCTGCCAGCGTTGGGGTGCATCAATGGCGCATCGCCCTTTAACCTCCTGTCCTCCTCATCCAAACCATACTTGGCAACAACCTTGTCAATGGCCTTTTTCAACGAGGCGTCGTCGAATCTACTGCTCTGAACCAGCGTCTTGCTGTTGTTGATCCACGAGGCCAGCGAGTTGGGCATCACGCGCGTGATGTTCCACCCGTAGATCTTGGGGCTAAACACCTCCTTGGAGATGATGTCGTATTGGTCAATGGCATCCGAGGCCGTCATGCGAAGCCGAAACAGCATGATGCCAATGATGCCGCCGGTGCTTGTGCCCGCGGCCAATTCAAAATAGTCTGCGGGGCGGCACTCTTCCTTGAGGCCCTTTCGTTGCTGGACTCTCTTCATGATTTCTTTGAGCACAATGAGGGATGCTACGCCTCGGACGCCGCCGCCATCGAGAGCGAGGAGGCGGACGCCGTTGAGATGCCGTGTTGCAGGGAGGTAGACCATTGTGGCTATGCTATGTAATGGCTAGAAGAACAGAGGAATGCTAGAATAATTTGACAATTTGAAGACGAGGTTTGTGACAGCACGATTGTGACTTATATAGGTAAGAGCACACACCTATCTAGTCTACTAACTTACACACGTTGGCGAAAGTGTTGGTACAACTCACTCAAATAGAGCTGCAAACTACCTTCAATAGACTCCCCGTCAAGCCTCCCAGACTATTGCCGGTCCATCCCGTTTCCAGAGCCGCTACAGGGCCAATTATTGACTCTTGGGCCAGCTGAGCTCTTGTTTGCCCACTCTAGACCAGCTCCACTCAGACGCGGCCCGTCCACTAGCCTCCCAAATCTCACGGCCAACCCCTGGAAATATTGCCCTGGAAAACGCCCGTCTAGCCTCTGCCGAGATGAGTCTGTCTTCTCATAGGCAGATCGGGGACAGCTGAAGGCCATGGTATCGCCCGTAGTTGCTTCGGTTGTGGAGGAGACGCACTTCTGCCCCTGCGCTGTACAGAGGTGATCTGGGGATCTGAGTGGCGAGAGATACGGAGATGGTCGTTCAGCTGAGAGGAATCGGTTCGGATTTGGAAGTGATGCGACGGCAGCTGAAATGTGTAATGATGCATTCAGATCACTGCCACTGTGGGCCTGCAGAAGAACGAGTTTTGCTGTTACGAATCTGGTGGTCTGTGTGGTTTATTGTGGTCAAGAGGCAGCAGACAATTGGATCTTGGCTCTGCTGAGAGGATGACTGCTGCGGTTGTACGAGGAGAGGTATTCGAATCTGGCTTGAGGCGAGTAACTACTTGTATGCGATTATTGTTCCGTCTACCCATCTGAGAGTTGGTTTTGGAATAATATGAATTTTAGGGTATAACTGATGGCAGTGAAGTATTGTCAACCCCACGTATAAACGGGTCATCAAAACTCGTCTTGCAGAGCAGTGCGCTCAACATCAATAAAGCAGCTCTGTATGTCTGATTGGCGACTGAAAAAGTAATAATCGAACCTCGAGAGAGGCATCTCCATGCTAGCAACACGCTTATATGAACTCAACTCCGTGTTTACCCATACCCCCGAGCTCTGCCATGCTCGTAATGTCGATCAAGATGTAGCAAGTTGAAAAGCAGAGCCACCGAGAGAGTCCCAGTAATTTCCCATCTAGAGATGGGCCATGACAGCCTCTCTTTGCATCAAAGTAACCATTCGCTCTTGAGACCGCACTGAAATCTCTTCAGCCATGGAATCCGACAATACTTGTCGTTTGCGAAACTCACCAAGTTCACGCTTGTGCTCCACCACGAACTCGCGGGCGCAAGGTGACCTGTGGCCAGTCTGAACGTTTTGAAAATAGTGTTCGACTTGGAAATTAGAGCAACACTGGGTTAGCAAGTGATTCTAGAAGAAAACCTTGAGCCGCAGGGGCTTTGCTACGCACAGAGCATAAGCTTCGAATATTTGCGGCGAGCATTCACTCCCATTGCTCGCTGCATGATTTCGGCGCAGACCTTCCAGTCATGGACTCGGTCGGCTGGTTTCACAGCCTTTGGCGACTGTGGAACGATTGTCTTCCAAAAGAAGCGTTCCTCCTGCTTGGACCACGTTTTGCCACCCATTGTGTGCGAGCTCAGATTTTGGTATTTTGTGAAGAAACGTAGCCTGGCGAAGGTTGGTAGGTGTATAGTCAAAGAATCCAGGAACGGGATGCTCAGGAGTTGAGAATTGATAAGAGCTTCGCAAGGTGTAAGAAAGCATCCAGTCCACCGTCGACAGTTGTTGTAGAGGCGGATGCAAGGCAACAAGAATTTATAGCAGCGCAGCATTGGCATCGGGGTCGTCCACGAGGTGATTCAGTTCATCAGGAAAGCTGCTCGAGTGTCCATGCTGACCGCCACATGGTCAAACGGATGACATTTTCTTGATATAGCCATCACCCGGATTTCGTCTGTCAGTGATTCACAGACAATACCAAGAGAGAAACAGCTCAAAACAGCTCTGCTAGCCCAACAAGTTGGAGCCAAAACAGTAGGAGTTTCAGTTTTACTCGGGAATTCGAGGCTCAGGCGCCTTGAGGCCTCGAGCTTGGAGAAAGCCCGCCATGCAGTGATCAATCCTGGAAAACTACAATATGTGAGCATCACACACGGTTGTGCTTGAGCAGTTTCATCAACTCACGATGCTCTTCTGGCTCAGCGGCACCACGCCGTCCTTGATCCAAAACGCCCATGCACCCATCATATTTGCCAGCATCACGTCCGTTGTCAGTCTATCGCCAACAACGGCAATGTGCGACGGATCTGTCACTCCAGTTTCTGGATACTTTTTGAAATACGCCATGATCTCGGCGCCACAGCCCGGCTTCTTTGTTGAGTGAGGGAGGACAAACACTCCCGTGCTCTTTTCAACTTCAGCTGCTTGCTTGAGGTCTCTATCCCAGCCAGTTGCCCCAGCTGTGTTGGACACCACCAGGAGCTTGCGACCAGGGTAGGTCTGCTTGAGTTTTTCAAAGTGTTGCTGTAGCCTTCCGTTAGAGACGCTGCAGTTCTGAAATGGGGTGACGTGGCCGTACCCTGTAAGCGGGATATACTTCCTTCGCATCGGGATAAGCAAAACAATCGTCTTTATCTAGAACAACGGCCTTGATGTTGACTCTCCGACCTTCTCTTTGCAGGGCCGAGTCGAGAGGGATAGGAAGATCGTTGAAGGTTGGTGCAATGTGATGAGGCAGACACAAGCTGGGCTTAAGCAGAAGCTTTGCTGAGTTGAGCGACCCGTACAGATTGAAGTTCATTTTGGAGTATAATTTGGTATTAAATGTCAAGAAGAGTCGAGGATTTACATGCACATCTATGCGTGTAAGTTCGAAGTATTAGACAGACACTGGCCATGCAATTTCTTCTGGCATGGAGCTCCAGTGGGTCAATGGCGCTACGCCAAATCGTCCATTTTAGTGCCTCGGGACCCTGGAGCTCCGGTAGCTTCAGCGCGTCTGTCGCGTTGAGTGCTGGAGGGAGAATCTCGGATGAGGTCAGCCAGTAATTATTATTGCTTTGACAACATTGAAGCTTGACGACAACATCATTCCTACAGACCCATTCTTGTGAGGGGAATTCGTTTTAAACTTCATTGAAAGACTCACGAATATACTGTGACCGGCAACACCATCTCTTACTGCTGATTTTCCTGCGACTCTGCAATTGAAGATACCCTCAAGCAACGAACGACCCCTCCATCCGACAGCAATCATCAGACAATCCCAGTTTCTCCAAAACCTCGAGAAGCAGTCGATACAAATCTTTGAAGCTATCGACTCTCACCAATAAACTACCATGGACTCAAACGAAGGAGAACACCCAGGTACCCCGTCATTGGGCGACAAGATGGACATAGACATCCAAGAAACAGCCACAGAGCCCGAACCCATCGCAACAACGCCCACGCCCCGACGCCGTGGCCGTCCTCCAAAAGCCAAGTCAAACAGCAACACTCCCAATGCGAAATCAACCGTCGTGCCCGTCTTTTCAACTCCCAAGAAACCCACAGGCTTCAATGCCCTCACACCCGGCAGAGCGGCAGACCGATCTGCGCGGAAGAAGAGCGCAAGAGCCTTGATAGACCGAGTCGTTGGAGACGGAGGGAGCGACGACGACGACGACATTGCGAGGCAGATTTACGAGTCGAGCGATGCTGGAGACGAAGACGACGGCGAAGACGAGCTCGAGGAGAGAACGGACGGCGAGGCAGCAGGCTTTGTGGCGGACGAAGCTGCGACGCCTTCAAAAACGCCGGCGAGGCGAAAGGCAAGGCCCAAGAGAGCCAGGTCGCCAACGCCGCCGAGAAACTTGCCGCCCCATGAGCTGTACTTTTTGCACAACAAGCCCGGCCGGCCCAAGACGTCGGACAATACCTTGACGTCCCTCAACTTGCTCTCCCACGACGAGTACTTTAGCATTCTACGGGAACACAAGGATCGCCACGCCGAGAATATCGACTATCTTGAGTCCCTCCACGCAGAGTCGTTTCCGCAATGGGCGTTTGAGCTATCCCAGGGCTTCAGCGTATGCCTCTATGGCCTGGGGTCCAAGAGGCATCTCCTGCGCAAGTTTGCGACCTACATCCACTCCAACAACAACAAGTCCACAAAGGCCGGCAAGATTGTCATGGTCAACGGCTACGCTCACACGGCAAACCTCCGCGAAATCCTCAGCGTCGTCGCGTCCGCCATTGATCCCACTCAAAGAGTGCCAAGCGCTCAACCCGCCGTCATGATCCAAAGCATCGTCTCCCTTCTCTCCACCACGAAACTCACCATCACAATCATCGTCAACTCCATCGACGCCATTCCCCTCCGCAAGCCCGGCTCTCAAGCTATCCTCTCCCAGCTCGCGGCCCATCCACAGATCAACCTCGTGGGTTCCGCCGACTCGCCCGATTTCCCCTTGCTGTGGGATATTGGCGTTCGGTCAGACTTCAACTTTGTCTTTCACGACTGCACCACCTTTTCTCCTTTCAAGGCCGAGCTCGACGTCATAGATGACGTGCACGAACTGCTTGGCCGGCAATCCCAGCGCGTCAACGGTCGTGAGGGTGTCGCGTTTGTTCTCAAGAGTCTTACGGAAAACGCAAAGAACCTGTTTCGCCTGCTTGTCGGCGAGGTTCTCATCGCGATGGAAGACGAAGGCGACGACGGCGTTGGTCTGGAGTATAGAATGGTATATAACAAGGCCGTGGAGGAATTCATTTGCAGCTCCGAAATGGCTTTTCGGACGCTGCTCAAGGAGTAAGCGAACGGTGCCCCTTTTATGTCCTTTTATACTACCTATCTGATGAGTCGTCGAATGATTTTACTGACAAATTCCTGCTTAGATTCCATGACCATCAAATGTTGACAAGCCGTAAAGACGACCTGGGAACGGAATTGCTAAGCCTGCCGTTTAGAAAGGAAGACCTTGAAGCCATTTTGGAAGATTTAACTGCATAGTTGCTTTGATTTGTTGATAAATGAATGACGTTACTCTATCAATGTTGTCAAAGAAATAGGAGGATGGCACACGAGGAAACGATAACCAAAAGCGATGGAGCATTAGTATCTACAGATTCTTGCATTAAATTATCACAGTGGCGTTGATTGACCTTCTAGATGCTCATCATCACTCGGAACCTATCCGTCTATTTCTACCTCATGTCCGAGTAAACTTCTAACCATCAGATCATAATTTGTTCCCCTCGCATCGCGCTGGCATTCTCACCATACGCAGCTGTCTAACTCCACCCATCTGTAATCGATCTATTAAAAAACAAGCAGATGAAGAGGGAAGAAAAAAAAAGTATCGTTTCATCGTATGATCCCACACTGCAGTTCAACAACCACCATTGATAAACCAAAGAGAGAAAAGAAAACGCCCATATCATGCTTCTATATAATTAAACTTCGAGCGCCTTGACGCATGTCCAGAGAATCACCGGCACAATGACGTTGTCGTTGCCTCCCGTCAAGACTGCCTCTGTCAAGCTAGCCATGGAGGAACACACCAAAGCGTGCCCAGCTCTAGTCGTCATGCTCGTGCCCTCGCCGTCAACGGGCCACTGCCCTATTCGAAGCCAGAGACTGGCGGCCGTTAGACCCAGGAAGACGACAACTGTAAATGCCAAGCTCCCCTCGAGACTTTTACCGCCACCCCAGAGCCACTTGCGATGACCATATCGGCGCCCAATGAGGGAGGCAGCTGCATCACCGAGGCCAACACAGACGACTCCTGAAACCATGCTGATTTCTCTAGTGGGAATCTCCCAGCCGGTCAGGTAGTTGGATCCGGCCCGTGGCAGGGATCCAAGCGACAGCCAGAGAGGAATGGCACACCCAATCAGGAGAAAGATGTGGGATATCACCACAGGCCCGCGAAAGTCTCTTCCGTCCACATACGGAGCTAAGAAGGAGGCGATCGGCTTGGACAGAGGCGGCAGCTGGCTCGCCCGTAACAGATCCAGAATCAAGAATATGGCCAAGACGATTGAAAGAGCCAAGGCAACAAATGTCGGATCGACGTAGGTTGCTGGAAGAAGCATGCCCACCATCATGAAATGGAACACTTTCCGCCGAGTGTCTACCTCGTACGTGTTTTTCAGCTGAAACACAATGGCAAGCCCAACAATCAGAATCAGGACCCAGTAACCACTAATAAAGAGACGTGTGCTGGCCTCGCCAAAATCATCATGGCGAACATGCTCCACCCAGCCATGGTGGCACTGCTTCGCATCCGAGGTATCAAGCCGTGGGGGAAGACAAATCCAGCGTTCAAGGTTGGCCCTCACAACTCGGTATCTGAATCCTGGCAGGTCACCAAAAAAGTAGCCGAGAGCCCAGCCCATAGGCTCGTTGCCATCAAGGGCATACTTCTGCACATATGGGCGGATTAGGGCCACTATGATGACTGCCAAGCAGGCGTATACATAGCCTGCGTATATCCACTTCCTCAGTGCTGCTTGTGCCGGCGTGAATTTGAAATATGCACGAATAGAAACAGATGCCGTTCGTTTTCTCCTTCCAGATGGAGTGTGCGTTGCTGCTTTGCGGGAGAGCTTTTCGGGGTACGGAGTCGTATGTCTTCGAGAAATCCCGCCTGCTTTCCATCCATTCTCGATAGTGGGCGAAGAGGGATTGTGCATGTCAGATGGCGCGTCTGCCGCTATGCTGAGCGACTGAACTCTAGTAGGACTGCTAAACCGCAAATCGTCTTCGTCGTCATCGGTTGAGAACGATATATCGTCGTGTAAATCATGGGGCGATCCTAGAATTTCGTTTTTAAGCCTCTGCCAGGACAGCAGTCTGATCAAGGACTGCCAAAGAGGGCGTCGTGGCGGATATGGCTCTCTTCGGAACCGCCATTTGGGGACTCTCGCCAAAACAATTCCCCATCTAAGCACGGCACCACAGAGCACGAGTATGCTCAACCCACCACCCCATAACAGAGCTTTTAGGATCTGAATCTGGGGCGATGACGCTAAGAGCAACACGTTGATCAGCGCAATCGAAAGAAGTTGAAGCTCGGCTGTAAGGAGACTGGTCGTGGTAAGATGATGTAATACAGCGGAAGCAGTTCTATGTAGGGGGTATAGCAGGACGAGGTCTTCTTGCGTGAGGAAGGAATACGTCGGTATAAATCGAAAGTGATCTGACAGAGAAGATCGCCAAATCAGAGGTAGACAAGATAGAGCCCAGTGAAGAGAGTCATATGCAGCGTTTTGATCTAGTTTCGGGACCACTTGTTGTGGGATCGAGCTTATGCCAAGTATAATATTGGGAAGGATAACGGCTGGATTGTTGACGGAAACGAGCAGTGAAACAAATATCGTTATTGACGGGGGGTAGAGGAGAGGCGCAGGGTCGAAGATTGAGGGAATCTTTAGCGGCAAGATTGAAGACGCCTGGCGATTCTTGTAGCTCCATGCCACAACTCGAATCGGATACAGCAGTAACAACCATCCATATAAAGCACCAAAGAGATAGAAATCTACAACTAGTAAGAAAGAAATTCCAAAGGGTGGAGAATGGATGTGATGCACCTTTGCGCCAAGTACGTAATGCCGGTGCCAGCAACTTGTTCGCTTGGATCATGCCGGCGAGCGTGGTGATGATGCCGACTTCAATGGCTCGCTGTACGAGAATCTTCTTCCGGCGGATGACCTCCGGTAAGATAGCTCTCTCTTCCGACTTCTTGCCGTTATGTGATGCTCGACGACCCGTTGGAGGCGCCGGTTCTTGCAGGACTGCGGGCGACAAGAGCGGCGTCGAGGTGCCAGAGATGACCTCGTTTCGGCCTCTCAACCCTTTGTGGGGTCGCAGTTTTGGCGGCGGCAGGCCCTTGAGGAAGTGTTCATCGTCGGCATCGGTGCCGCTATCGCTCGCCGGCGTCGATTCCTTGGAGAAGGTTGGTAGACCGGATAGCGATGGCTGGCTCGAGTCGTTGCCCAGCTTCGGAGATGCAGCTCTTTCGCCGCGAGAGACCAGATGGTCAGAGGGGTAAGGGAGCTCGGAGCTCTGGTGGTGATAGGGGTGAGGCGACCGGTTCAATGCTCGAAGGACTTGTTGTTCATCTTGATCCAGAGCCTCTGTCGACTCTGGGCTGAGGTGCGTTGGCATGTCGTGTGAGGCCACTTTTGCTAGGAACCATTGAAGACGGTTGGCGTGGGATGTGGCTCGAGAACTGGATGACGTATTAGGGAACTAAGGCGTCGACAGCCTTGGGCGAATTCAATGGCTGCTGATCGGGCGGCTTCAGCAGGCAAAGGAGTCTTTACATTGGGAGGATTAGATCGTGAAAAATAGACGAGATTACGTGGAATGGTCTTGGACTTTTACATGAGAGCTACGTGTACCTTCTCCACGGTTCGCTGAGGCTTTGAGAAATGCTAAAGTTGGTCCATTTGCCGGCATTATCACGTGAAACCCTGATGGCAGCCAAAGTCACCGCCCTGCAAATCATACGTGCATGGTACTTGCATGAAACAGTGCTGGAGAATGGCACGCTGAAGAGGCACAGGGCCAAGAATGTGGGATAGATGATTGGGCAGTCTATTGGACATCTTCAACGGCATTTAATATAAACAAGTCCCTGTACCCGTGCCTGTACCCGTGCCTGTACCCGTGCCTGTGCCTGTGCCTGTGCTTTTTTAGCATTGCAGGCGTCAACTTCACGTGTTCTCGGCGACGGAACCCTCATGCGCCGTTTCAAGCAGCTAGACGCCGGTTCTCTGCTAATTGTCTCAACAGCTGGGTAGAACTACGACTACCAGCTAGTAGCAGCCACTTTAGAGTTAGTGACTTATCAGGTTGTTTAAGCATTGCCAAAATGGGCAAAAAAGAGCAGAGTAGAGGCAAAGTTTGCAGCCTCGATACTCTTGCAACGCCAATTGGAACCTCCCGCTGGCCTGGCACACAAGGCTGATGGGATCTGAAGCTACAGCTGCAATGCAGAGTCTCAAGGTTGAAACCGGGATGTGTACAGCCAATTGGTGTCGAGGGAAATGCCATGCTTGAGCTGGTAAACGGCCTGGAGGCTAAATGTGCTATTCAGCTCGAGTGGAGCCATTCAAACGGCCGCAAATGATGGAAAGACGTGTTGCACCAGACAAACAGAGTTGAGACTATCGGGTTGAATCTCACAAAGATAGTTTGCAGGGTTACAGATGGAAGTCGGGCGTGCCTCGGTATCCAAAGATTGGATTCTCACTGAGAGATGCCGCCAACAGCAAGCATTATAAGCCTGGGATATGGCCGAGGAGACTGATTTACCAAGTAGAAGCTCCAGGTATACCAATTGATAGGCATACATCAATGCTGCTCACCCAGAGCTGTACGAGTAGCGTGTACGAATACATAATTGTCAGAGAAATTGCCCTCTTTCCCCTCTTTCTCTCCAGTTTCTCGGAGGTTGGTCTTTAGCCACCTGCTGGAACCTGCTGGATTGCGCGCCGTGGCCTCCGAGGCGTTTCCAGAAGCGTGGATACCCTTGCTTACCTCGAGAATTCCCCATGAGGCTGAGAGCCCCAAATGCACGGACTCGCCAATCTAAACGCTGATCCAGGGCCTAAACAAGCCTTGGCTGAAATCTCAAAGTTTGCTGGCCTCTGCACATTGGCCAGAGAGCGACAGTCTGGGCCTTCGATCCGCATGAGTCCATCGTCCAGTCGGGGCCGGCCAAGTCTCCAAATTCTCCCCTTCCCGCTCTTTCTTCGACTCGAATACGAGCCGCGCGAAGAAATGGGCTGAGCCAGCGTCGGTTGG